TATTCCGACATCGGATAAAAAGAAGAGATGGATGAGCTCTACGCGCTGCTGACTACCTGTGGCATTATATCTACGCATATATCTCAATAAGACGTTGGTTGTTCGCAAGGCTCTGCGTGATTCTACTCGCGCACGCTCGATATTGCAGATATTGAAGAGATCTTTCTACAGTCGCTTCAGCCATTCGTTAAGGACGAAGATTATGAAGTTATTAGCCGTACAGCAATCGTGAGACTGGCGACTGGCCGTGGAGGATCAAAAGCTCACGATATCGACGATTTTACCAATGCCGAAGCGGAGCAGATCCTTGCTCTACTGGATAGGCAACATAAGACCTTCCCAAGAAGCCAAATACAGCTTCATTTTGAAATCAAAGTGGTCTGTGAAGCCTTGCAAGGAAATAAAAAGAAGTCAAGACAATCCTCTCAGCCTCCAAAGCAGTCAACCACCGATGAAGCTTCTTCTCCTATATCAAGCTCTCCTCCGGTTGCTTCAACGCGTTCTAATCGTACTGGCAGGCTGTTGGAGCAACATTCTCGTCGCCTAGAATCCATACGGATTGCAGGAGATTTTCAACGTCAGTTGATGGAGCGATACCGCTGTCTTGACGACAATTGTACAAACAAAAATAATTACTGTTTCCCTGATCCTACAGATCCAAATCTCCATTATAATATTACCGCTGCTCAGCACGAGATGTGGGCAAATTCGATTGCAAGTGGAGAAGCGACGCTCCAACAGCCTCCCTACAAGCTTATTCGGTATTGGGAGAGGGAACAGGGCCCTATAACTCGTCAATCTCGTCAGCCTTTAAAGCAGTCTTCCCTACAGCAAACCAAGACAGCAATGGAGCGCCTAATGGAGATGCAACAGCAGATGCAGGAACAGATGTTGCAGGCCCGGATGATGGATCAATTAGAGGCAATGGAGGAGAAACAAGAGCGTCGAGAGGAGCGCAATGAACGCCGTCAGATGCAACGGGAACAGCGTGAGTTATTGCTTCAACAACAGCAGTTATTGCTGCAGCCTCATTTACAGTCTCTATATAACCCTTTACGTCCCTTATTAGGAAGACAGGATCCTCCTAATCTGTCCGCTCCCTTGCGTGAATCAACACCAGTTCGACCCAAATCTTCTAGTCCGATTGATGCCAACGAAGACGATGCCGATATACTTGCTGCATTCTTTGACTGGAAGATATAATACTAAGAATCCTGAGAGGAAGGCCAAATGGGAACATGCCAAGCAGACTGTTATGGCCAATGACTGGTCTATACAGGAACTGCAACAAATGGAGGATGGGTCTTGTGCGATGTATCAACGCGCAATAAAAGCAGGTATCTCGGACGGCTTTGCTCGCGGTTTCAAATCTGAATTACACAAATTTAAAGATTACTATCGCCATCTAAAAGAGGAAACGAAGGCAGCTATGGCGCTCGATCAGTTGGTTCAGGGAGGAGGCGGTTTTATACCAGGTGATACATTCTGAATCCGTGTCTTTTGTATTGATTTGACTTTATATAGTAATACTATCATCTTTCTCATACCGCTCAATGAATCGGCGGAAGCGGATGAGCTCTTCTTCTTCTATATAGACACCTCCAGCAGCATGATGGAATTGTTCTCGTGCAAAACGGTCACATCTGCTCTCTCTGATGGCCAGTTCTAGGAAATCGCCATAAGAATCACAATTCTGCCGCAGGAACACCCAATGACGCTTCATCCAAGCCTTCAGAACCGAGAAAGTAAGCTCAATTGGATTGTAATCTGGCGAGTATGGCGGCAAGAATCGTATGAGATGTCCTTCGGCCTCAATCATACGAGTCACCTCCTCGCTAATATGAATAGACACGTTATCCATAACAATAACCATGGGCTGACGATGTTGTTGGTTGACTGCAGGCAAAAGACGTGTTTTTACCCACTCGATGAAATCCTCAGAAGTCCAATATCCCTCTTTGATGCCAGTACAGGGCATCCAACCCTCTAGTGTCATCGCTGCGCAGATGCTCCATGTCCTTCCGCGCCGAATATCAGTTCTATACGAGCTCATCGCATTGAGCGTAGCGTGTGCCCCAGCAGTTTTCTCGTGATATAGACTCATCCACAAATACAAGGTCTTCCGCTGCAAATCGCCGTATGTCATCGAGATACGCGCGACGAAGAGCCTCGCTTCGATCCAGAGAGATACGCCTGAGCTGTTTCCTCGTCCAATTCCGACGCTTTAGTAAACGAGAGACTGTGGACTGACTGACTGAGACTCCTCGCTCATGCCAAAGCCAGTAAACTAGTTCATCTTGGCTCCTCCATCCTTCAGATAGCAAATATTGGAAGAGAGCTTCTTCATCCGCGTCTGACAGCTTATGAGCTCGACCCAGCTGCCTGTAATGCGGCCTGCAGACGCTTCCATATCTCATCAAGTTGTTCTGGATGTTATAGACAGTGCGGACAGCAACATGACACTCGCTGGCGATGTTATCGGGTCTCCATCCAAGAAGGAGATATCGCAATATCTGAGCACGCTTTACAGGACTCAAACCACGCGTTAGACGGCGACGAGGACGCTCAGGAGGGTATCTATAAGCTCCGGGGATTGCTTCGTTTGCTGGAGGTTGGGGTGCAGAGGATTCTGGAGAGTTGGTCGCCTCGGATGCCATTTTTTCTGCGATACGGGGGTAATCTCGATATCGGCACAGACATAGGCTATAATTTCCTAATTAGAAAGTCAGAAGAACCTCAGATATGACAAATTCAGTAAAAAATCGATGGGATTTGGTGAGAAAAATCAGTATTTTGGTGGTTTGGAGGGCTTCCGATACAAAAGTTGCAATTTTTTGAGGTTTTGGGGTGCCAAGACTGCACCAAATTTTGCATAACGTAAATCCGATAAGATAAGAGACAAGGTATCCATACTCCGTAGAGAATTCGAGGCAGCAAACCCAGCAACAATTACAGTCAAGCAAAAAAAAAAAGTTAAGAAAAGGAAACAAATAAAAATACTCCTTTCAAATTTCCAAGTGTAATAAACGACGAGATGAGAAAGATTGCAGACACGCTGCGAGCGACAGACCGGCCAATGGGAACGATGCCCGCCTGAGGAGACGCTTCCCCGCCTCTTCCTGCTGTCTTGCATCACATCGTGGCGGTGGCACCTGGTCTCCCAGCAGAGCACCGTCCGCGTTTATTATCGGGCGTCTTGATTTTGCTGTCGACCTGAGTCCGGCAAAGAGACGTCTCCCTGTCCGTTGATTTTCCGTTCTCGCCAGTTGAGCGTGGTTCCTGAGACTTCAGTATAGACATCTCACCAATGGCTGTTTCAGGGCAACCGGGCCAGCCGTCAAGGCCCTCGCAACTCAAGTTCATCAGGCCTGCCCAGATGAGCTTGTTCGCTAGAGTGACCTGCTATCCGCCTCTGGGGGAAGTGACTTGCGTCAAAAGGCTCCAAAAGGCTCGCAATTCCAGTGAAGATGACAAGGTGAGCATTGAGAGCCCTGTTGTCGGCAGTTGTAGAACACTTGTCTCAATGACTGTATATAATTGAACAGCTCTTGGTTATTGAATTGGCATGAATGTTATGGTTTACTACTCTGTGACTTTTTTGGATGATCGATATTGGCTTCAGATTGCTGTTCACTAGTATCCATGAAAACACGCTCTCAATCACACATCGTGTTGTGTTTAAAATGCTGATGGACATAGCTCCGCTTCACCGTCATCCTCTCCTCAAGTGTCTCGTTCCCCGAGCAGGATTGGGAAGTGCACATTTGGCACAACATTGGCAACTCCTCCTGGAGTGCTCTACCGCTGAAGAAATGTCCTCCGTCTCAAAACCCTACCGTCATAGGCAGTGATGCAGAACAGAATTTCTTTCACTATACCTTCTCAGAAGAAATAGTCCTGCCGTCTTCGGCAGGACATGCAAATTTCACTGTTCGCTACAGGACAGGTCCCGACGCCCAGTGGCAGTGGGCAAACCAACGCCGCTTTGTGAAGGACGGGGAGCTTATATTTGGTCCAAGGGGCCGACAATTGTTGCCCCCTGCACCAGAATCTTCTCCAAGGAAAGGACTGGGTGAATATATTCAGAACCTCCCGAATGAAATCGACATTCAATCCCGGAAAAGTGAATCCCCAGATGCTCATCTATGGAGTATTACGGGCGACGTGCCCGCCGCTCAGGAGCGAGAATCGGGACTTAAAAAGCTGACGCTTGGATCGCCATCATCATATCTGCGTTACTTCGCTTTGGTACGTGTCTGGAGTCCATGGCTAGCTCCAAGACACGGAAAGAAAGATTTCAGATTGACCGAAGATGCCGTCTTGTGTTCCTTCCTGCGGTCAGATGGGCTAAATCTAGTGCTTCTAGCTATATCAGGAGTCAACGATGTCCTGACAGTTTTCCAGTCAGGCGAAAAGGGCGAGGTGGTGATAGCGGCCAGAAATGACAATCCGGGTTCTTCAAAGTTCCAGGTTTTGGCGTCCGTTGCCGAAAACTTCGAGGTGGCCATTTGTGCCCTGATATACGAGGCTCGCAAAATAGTCAGAGAGGCTGGCGGTGGTGTGGCTATTCCAATCGTTTCAGACAGCCCCCCGCCAGACTCTCCGGTATCCGATGATATCGTGGTGGTTGAGAAAGATGCAAGGGCCCAGTGGCTGGCTGATTGGTACGACGGCCTCACTTACTGCACCTGGAATGGGTTAGGACAGAACTTGACAGAGGACAAGATTCTCGATGCTCTTGACACTTTGAAGGATCATGGGATCAACATCGTGAACCTCATCCTCGACGACAGCTGGCAGTCCTTAGATAATGAGGAAGAATCTCAGTTTCGGCGCGGCTGGCTGTCCTTTGAAGCCAACCCGGAAGGGTTCCCATCAGGATTAAGACACACTGCAGAGTTGATCCGGCAGAGACATCCCAATGTCGAACATATCGCCGTCTGGCATGCGTTGATGGGGTACTGGGGTGGGATTTCACCGAGCGGTGAAATCGCAAAGAAGTACCGGACAAAGGAAGTCACCCTGAAAGACCCTGTGGCCGGTGGCAATATATTGGCTATCGATCCGGACGATATCCGACGTTTTTATGAGGATTTTTACTCCTTTCTCACTTCAGCCGGCATTGATGCCGTCAAGACGGACGCTCAATTCTACCTCGATTTGCTGGAAAACCCCGAAGATCGCAGGCAATTCACGACTGCCTACCAAGATGCCTGGTCCATTGCTTCGTTGCGATATTTCAGCACTCGGGCGATCTCGTGCATGTCTATGGCGCCGCAACTCATCTTCCATTCTCAGATGCCAACCAACAAGCCCAGCATCCTTTTGCGGAACTCGGACGATTACTTTCCAGATGTCCCGGACTCCCACCCATGGCATGTCTTTTGTAATGCACACAATGCATTATTGACCAGGCATTTGAACGTTATCCCTGATTGGGACATGTTCCAAACCGACCACACTTATGCGGCTTTCCATGCTGCCGCGCGATGTGTCTCGGGCGGCCCCATCTATATCACTGACGAGCCCGGCAAGCACGATATAGAGTTGATCAATCAGATCACCGCACCCACGACGCGAGGCAATACTGTGATTCTCCGGCCCAGTGTCTTAGGGCGCACAACGGACGTCTACCATGACTATAATGAAGGGAACATGCTCCGAATCGGTACGTATACAGGATGGGCAAGAACTGGAAGTGGCATTCTGGGACTCTTCAACATCAGTCCCGCCGATGTTTCCTCTATCATCCCACTGACCGCCTTCCCTGGCGTTTCCACCGAGTCCGATGACCGATACATCATCCGTTCCCATAGCACGGGGGAAGTAACGGAGCTGATGCGGCCAATGGGTCAAAATTCTCTCGTTGCAGTTTCCCTGGAACCGAAAGGTTGGGAAATCCTGACAGCCTTCCCGATCCGTTCTTTTACCTTGGAAGGAAGCCGGGGCTGCTCTTCTACCTCGACTCTCACGCACGTTGCGGTCCTCGGTCTTCTCGGAAAGATGACCGGCGTGGCCGCCGTGGTGAGCTCCGACATCTACGTCGTCGACAACGGCCGGCTTCGATTCGACATCAATCTCAAGGCGTTAGGGGTCCTGGGGATCTATTTCTCTGATCTGCACCGGAAATCGATCGACCAGAATGTGATGATCCTGATATCGGGACAGCCTATCCCCAGGAACACTGTTTGGAAAGACGGAGGAGATCAGTCTAAAGTCCTTGCGGTCGACGTCCTGAGAGCGTGGAAAGCTCTGGGGCTGGACAGTGGATGGAGCAATGAGGTTGCTGTCCAGATATTTGTGAGCTGACTTGGCGATCTCATTCCAGTAATGGCATGATAGAGGGATGACTTTATGGCCTTATGCGTTCAGAGTAGTTCCTAGGCAGTTGGGTCAGTATCATTCATATATACATACTATTCAATTTACTCTATAATAGACGAGTTTTTCTTCTAATATATAAAGCATAAAATATACATCTATGTATGAAAGGGGAAAAATAATTAGCTGCCCTACGTCAATAATTCTGTTTTTGGCAATTGACAACCATCGCTGATTGGCCCGTTTTACAATCTACTCTTGTGGATCTAGCCGCTTCAGGAACTCCGCATTATCCTTTCTCCGACCAAAAATATCGGGCTCCATATTTCCCATTGAATACGGAGCATAGGATCTTGGATAAGAGGACAAGCCATTACAACGACAATTGCGAATCCGCAGCGGACTTTCTGGGGTTCGACATTCAATTCGGCTCGATGTGGCCACAGCCGTCAGAGCTCGGTCTGACAGCACGCCTCCGCCTCTGCCTCCGGCCCAACGCATCACTACCACCACGCCCGTGTTGTTCCTGCGCCGCGGACTCGACGCGATGGACGGCGGCGGCGGCAATCCGATCGCTGCATCTTGAAGCCCGTCGACCCGGTGCCGCCGGCAGCTCGAGTCGGAGCAGCGGATCCAAGTCGTCCCTGTTGTCATCGCAGCGGAGATGGATCACGCAGAACTACCTTCGCAAAAAGGCGGAGGCGGAGGCTCAGTGGAAGGCATGGGCGGAGGAGATCAAGGCAGGGAAGCGAAAAAGTTTTGTGGAGCACTTGGAGGAGAGAGGGCTCATACATCAGGTTGTTGGGTGAGTTTTCTACAACCTCCGTTCTGCGATCGAGACTGACTTGGGGTTCGACTTATAATAGGGAGCGCGATGTCCTCCATAGGCTCTTCACGGAAAAGAGAGTCGGCATGTATGTTGGCGTAGACCCTACGGCACCATCTTTGCATGTTGGACATATGTTGCCCTTTATGGTGCTTGCTTGGGGATACGTTTGGGGATTGCCGGTCACTTTCCTGGTGAGGAGTTCCTATTACTTCTGTGTCATGATGGTAAAAAGCTAACATTACACACAGCTGGGAGGTACCACCGCAAGAATTGGTGACCCAACAGGCAGATTACAGGGCAGAGAACCGATGCATTCCTCCGTCCGCAAGGCGAATATGGTGAGCATGCACATCCAGCTCAAGAAGCTTGGCGCCTGCATTGAACAATACGGTATTCGACACGGGTACCAGAGGGAATGGGCCTGGAAGCGAGCATTGACAAACAACAACGTCTGGTGGAATAAAACTACCCTCTCTGAAGTTCTGCGGGATCTTGGGGCTTATATCAGAATCGGCCCTATGCTAGGGCGAGACACGTAAGTGACTCGCTCCTTTTTTTTGACGTCCTGATTTATGATTAACCGGCCATTTCGACGTTATCTAGGGTTAAGACACGTCTAGAAAAGGGAGAAGGCATGTCGTTTGCCGAGTTCACCTATCCTCTCATGCAGGCGTGGGACTGGTGGATGCTGTTCAAGAAGGGAACTCAGGTCCAAGTCGGAGGCTCCGATCAATTCGGAAACATTCTGTTCGGCATGGATGCTGTGAAGCAGATCAGTAGGAATACGGCAATCGAGATTGATCGGAGGCCGCTGGAGGATGAGTTGGATAAGCCGATTGGCTTCACGACGCCTCTCCTGACTACTCCCTCGGGTGAAAAGTTTGGCAAGTCGGCCGGAAACGCGGTCTGGCTTGACAAGGACTTGACTTCCACCTTTGAGCTCTATCAGGTAGGTTTCTGTTTGGTAACTTGACTATTCTGATCTTCGGTTCTTTGCTGACCTTATTTTGTAGTTCTGGGTGCGGACACCGGATGCGGATGTCGAGCGATATCTGAAAATGTTCACCTTCTTGCCCCTCCCGAAGATTGCCGAGATTATGGAGGAACAGAACAAGGACCCGTCTAAGCGTGTGGCCCAGCACGCTCTTGCCCGTGAATTTGTCGAGCTCGTCCATGGACCTCTGGAGGCGGAGGCTGCAGAATTGCAGCATCGCCAGCTCTTCCGGCCACGGTCCTCCACCGCAGCGCCATCGCCGGCGCCGGCGCCAGCTACTCCCAAAGTCCCCCCGAACTACGCTCATCTTCCCCAGGCCAAGTTCTGGAATCCTGCGGCCGGGAACAAATACGCTCCTGCCACGAGTTTTATGAACATGCCGAACATACGTGTCACGCTGCCCAGATCGCTCGTCGTCGAGCAGCCTTTCCACAAGGTCCTCTACTCTGCAGGCCTGGTCTCGTCCAAGTCAGAGGGTCACCGTCTGATCGCGAACGGAGGCGCCTATGTCGGTAGCCGTCCTGGAGACACTGGATCCATGTCGGACGATCTTTCCTTTACGCCCATCAAAACATGGCCAGCTGAGAAGAACAAGGAATACATCCTCGACGACTGTCTGCTCATCCTCAAGATCGGCAAGTGGAAATTCAAGATGGTGAACATCATCAGCGACGAGGAATTTGACAAACAAGGCCTCACAGCGCCCGGTTGGGAGGAATTTAAGCAGGCCAAGCAGGAGAAAGAGAACGCTGCCCAGGAAAAGGCTGCCGAGGAAAAGGCTGAAAAGAACGCTGAGAACGGAAAGAACGGAGAGAATGGAAATGCTGCCAAGGAAGAATCCGTCTCTTGAAGATTACTCTGATTTCATTTGTATTATAGATAGACATTGTCATATAGGTATGTACTGTACAATAGCGGTATGTAGCAACGACATTAGGTAGGCAGGGTCCTGTAAAATCTAGCCAATCTCACAGCTCTCAATTCTGGAGTTATCCTGTAAGAATATTTCTATTGTATGTCCGTGTAAAATGGCAAAATTGAATGTAGATGTACTCATGCGTAGCACGGGCCTTGACAGGTTTGTTAATTCTTGCGGCGTTTGGCGGAGAACCACTAAACGCGTCGACGCGTCTGTCACGTCTTCCGCTGCAATCCCTTATCTCGCTCCGCCCGCTCTCCCCGTCCTTGTCAACGCAGTGGTCTTTCGTCCGTATTTCTCCTTCTCAAGCAAAATTAATCCAGGTAGCATGTGTCAATCGTGTTGAAACACTTCTGTCTTTTTTCTTCTACTTGATAGAGTAGAACCTCGAGCCACGCTCTGTCTCCACAATGGCCAGAGGATCCGGCGCCGCATCCTCGCCGGCCACTGCCACCACTCCGGCCTCGAAACCTCTGAAGCGCTCGACCGCCAGCACGCAGAATATGAAGAATCAGACGTCCATCCTGGGCTTCTTCCAGAAGTCCTCGCCGTCCACCCCGTCAGGGACGCGCAATGCAACAGAGCCGGCTTCCTCGCCCGCACAGCGTGCTTCCGAACAGCGGGCGTCGTCCAAGAACGCCGAAAAAGTCTCCCAGAATTTGACTCCGGCGCCGAGCAGTGATGTGGTTGAACCAGAGGATGAGGAGAAAAAGGAAAGTACTGAGATTGCGGATAATAACGGTGTGCTTTCTCCCGCAACGTCCACTAACGGGACTGTCACTTTGCAGACCGATGCCGAACAAAAGGAAAACGTCTCTGTCACCCCATCACGAAGAGTGAGTCGATTTCAATTGGATGATACGTGGGCTCTTTTCCGATGCTGATGCTGTTTACCAGGCCAAAAAGCCCGTGAACTACATGGAGTCCGACAGCGAGGGCGAAGATGACGATGAGGAGATCTTTCGCCCGACCCGCCGCAACAGAGCCACGAAGCGACGGAAAACATCTGCGGATAGTGAGGACGAATTCCAGGCGGATGAAGGGGATGGCCAGGACTCGGACGATGGTATGGCTGAGACTGGATACAATGCTGAAACCGATGCTAACTTTCTGCAGATATGGACAATTTCATTGTTCCCGACGATTCGGAGGAGGAAGAGTCCCGACCATCGAAGAAACGAAAGAGGGCCGCGAAAGGAGCGTCACGCAAACCTTCAGATGATCCCCAGCCGCCTTTGGATGATGAAGACCTCGATCTAGATATTCCGGAGGCATCGTCCGGTACCGCCCAGAAATGGACATACGATCCAAACAATCTAGAACCGCGAAAGGAGCGCAAGGCCAATCCAGCCTCCAGTGGCTCCTCTGAGAACCGGAAGGAGAAACCCCATGAGAGCGAGTCCGAGCAGCGGTACCCTTGGCTGGTCAACATAATGGACAAGGACAGGCACCCTCCTGATCACCCCGACTATGACCCGCGCACCCTCTACATTCCGCCTTTGGCCTGGGCCAAGTTCTCTCCTTTCGAGAAGCAGTACTGGGAAATTAAGCAGAATTTCTGGGACACCATCGTGTTCTTCAAGAAAGGAAAATTCTACGAACTATATGAGAATGATGCCACCATTGGTCATCAGTTGTTTGACTTGAAGCTTACTGACCGGGTCAATATGCGTATGGTGGGCGTACCGGAAATGAGTCTCGACTACTGGGCGAGTCAGTTCGTCGCCAAAGGTTACAAGATTGCCCGTGTTGACCAGTCCGAGTCGGCTCTGGGGAAGGAGATGCGGGAGAGAGATGACAAGAAGGGCGGCAAGAACGTCAAAGAAGAGAAGGTCATCAAGCGAGAGTTGTCTTGTGTCCTCACCGCAGGGACTCTGGTTGACGGCTCGATGCTCCAAGATGACATGTCCACGTATTGTGTTGCGATCAAAGAAGTCATTGTTGACGGTTCACCGGCTTTTGGTATCGCGTTTGTCGACACGGCTACCGGCCAATTCTACCTGTCCGAGTTCGTTGACGACGCTGACATGACCAAGTTCGAGACATTCGTTGCTCAGACCCGGCCGCAGGAACTGCTCTTGGAGAAGTCGGCGGTTTCCCAAAAAGCCATGCGCATTCTCAAGAACAATACTGGGCCGACCACGGTCTGGAATCACCTCAAGCCGGGCAAGGAGTTCTGGGAAGCAGACATCACACTGAGAGAGCTCGATGCCAGCGATTATTTTGTCTCTGCAGACGGTGATAACACGGAAACCTGGCCACAAGTGCTTCGGGAAGCCAGGAACAAGGAGTATGTCATGTCAGCTTTCGGGGCGCTGGTGCAGTATCTCCGGGTCCTCAAACTGGACCGTGATCTCATCACGATTGGCAACTTCACCTGGTATGATCCGATCAGGAAGGCCACCAGCCTCGTGTTGGACGGCCAGACCCTGATCAACCTCGAAATTTTCGCCAACTCGTTCGATGGTGGTTCCGAAGGCACGCTGTTCCAGCTTCTCAACCGTTGTATCACACCGTTCGGAAAGCGGATGTTCAAACAGTGGGTTTGCCATCCCTTGATGGACATTAAGAAGATAAATGCCAGGCTGGACGCTGTCGATGCTCTGAATGCGGACATCGCTGTCCGTGACCAGTTCGCTTCGCAGTTGACCAAGATGCCGGATCTTGAGCGGCTGATCTCTCGAATCCACGCCGGCAGCTGTAAGGCGCAGGACTTTGTGCGCGTGCTCGAGGGCTTCGAGCAGATCGACTACACGATGGGCCTGCTTAAGGATCTCGGTTCCGGCGAGGGTGTCATCGGGAATCTCGTCTCTTCCATGCCGGATCTGAAATCGCCGCTTGAGTACTGGAAGACCGCTTTTGACCGAACAAAGGCAAAGGAGAATGGCATCCTTGTTCCGGAGCCAGGCATTGAGGAAGATTTCGATGCCTCGCAGGAGCGTATTGAGGAGATTCATCGTGAATTGGACAATCTCTTGAAGAAAGTCCGACGGGATCTCGGCTCCAATGCCATCTGCTACCGAGACAATGGGAAGGAGATCTACCAACTAGAGGTGCCGATCAAGATCAAGAACATCCCCAAGAACTGGGACCAGATGTCTGCGACGAAGCAGGCCAAACGCTATTATTTCCCCGAGCTGAGAACCCTCATTCGCCAGCTTCAGGAGGCTCAGGAAAGACACAGTCAGATCGTGAAGGAGGTCGCGGGACGATTCTACGCTCGATTTGACAAGGATTACGATACGTGGCTGGCGTCTGTCAAGATCGTCGCACAGCTGGACTGTCTGATCAGTCTGGCCAAAGCTTCGTCGTCACTTGGGCAGCCCAGCTGCCGGCCTGTTTTCGTCGACGATGAACGGAGCGTCCTCGAGTTCGAGGAGCTGCGCCATCCCTGCATGCTTCAGCATGTGGCGGACTTTATCCCGAACGACGTGAAACTAGGTGGTGAGAACGCGAGCATCAATCTGTTGACCGGTGCCAACGCGGCCGGAAAATCGACTATTCTTCGAATGGTATGTCTGTTTCGCCTGAAATAGTATTTATTTGATTTGATTGCTGACGAACTTTTTTTAGACTTGTATTGCTGTTATCATGGCTCAGATTGGCTGCTATCTCCCTTGCCAGTATGCTCGGCTCACTCCGGTTGACCGGATCATGTCTCGTCTGGGAGCGAATGACAACATCTTCGCCGCGCAGTCGACTTTCTTTGTCGAGCTGTCGGAGACGAAGAAGATCCTATCGGAGGCGACGCCGCGTTCATTGGTGATTCTGGACGAGCTGGGTCGTGGTACGAGTTCGTACGACGGTGTGGCTGTCGCCCAGGCCGTGCTGCATCACATCGCAACCCACATTGGGGCTTTGGGCTTCTTCGCGACGCACTATCACTCTCTTGCAGCAGAGTTCGAAGGACATCCGGAGATCGCACCGAAGCGGATGCGAATTCATGTCGATGACGAGGAGCGACGCATTACCTTCCTGTATAAACTCGAAGACGGCGTGGCGGAGGGCAGCTTTGGCATGCACTGCGCGTCCATGTGCGGGATCCCGAACAAGGTGGTCGAGAACGCCGAAGTGGCAGCGAAGCAGTGGGAGCACACGAGCCGGCTGACCGAGAGCCTGGAGCGTCGCAAGGGCGGCGGTCTTGTCGGTCTGGGCTGGTGGAGCGACGTCGCCTGGCTGCTGCGTGACGACGCGGAGGTATCGGAGCGAGGATTGGAGGTCCTTCGCAAAGCGATCGAAGCGATGTAGCGCTGCGATTACTCTATTTTTTTATTCCTATATCACTGTATTTGTAATTTTTGTATCTTTTTGACTTGACGCCTTGGCGTGGGAATAAGAGTGTTTGGGTCGGACTGATCTGGTTGAAGATAAATCGATCTTGAGCTCGTCCTGTACGTGTGGGAAATATTAATCGGGAATTATAATAAATAAATAGCTTTGAACTCAGACAGTATGTTAGGTTAGGTTAGGTTTCTTTTAAGTATGCTATTCTATGCCTAGAGATGAGACGAAATCAATAACCATATGATCTTGATGTAGCTGATCCGGTAAATACTGTCCCACTCTGTCCTACTCTTCCATCTACTCTGCTCCAAAGCTGACTGACCTCGATACATTGGATGTTTCAGGGCAGGGAGAAGGGAGAAGTCCCGTCCCGGCCAAGGCAAGGTACTGGACTGGACTGGACTCTGCAGAGAAAGAGGAGGAAGTCAATTTTTTTTCTTTTTCTTTTATCTGTCAGAAACTGCCCAACAGTGTCGCTGCAGGGTATTTATTACTGCTATTTGATGAGTATTTTTTGACGAGGAGAAGGTTCCTTTGTATAATATAAAAAAAATTGGGAAAGGATGGGAAGAGAAGAGAAAGTGAGTTTTAGTTTTAATTTTTTTTGCACTCTGGGAAGGATTAGTCTGTACAATGAACAGTACATTACATGCGTACTGACAGAATTAAAATAAAAAGGTGAATCGAATCGGTTGCTTGGTTTCTTGGTTTAGGGTCTATGATTGATCTATGATCTAGCTAGTTATCGATCGATCGATACCTATGGATTAGATTGATTGATTGAATGATTACTAGGAGTGTTCTGGGTTTTTATTATTTCCAGTTTCAATTTCGAAGTCTATGTAAAATTTCGATTTCGATTTCGAATCGATGTCTTTTTTTTGTTCTGAAAGGCTTGCTGTTCAGTTCAGCTCAACTACATAGGTAAATTCAATTCATGAACTGGACTGAACTGGAATGGACTGGACTGAAATAATTAATCAAGTATAACTAATTAATTAATTAATTAACTTCTTAACTAATGGTTCTTCTCAACTAGTAGCACCTACAATTACGATCATATACCATAACGTCGAAATTTTTAGAGCAATTGTATTGTATTTTATTTTATTGTATTGTATTGTATTCATTCCATCGCATTGCAATCAATCACAACGAATTTATTTGAATTTATCTGCTAGGATCAGAATTGAGTGGAATGGAATAGAATAAAAACATCGAGATCGATACGATACAGGATACAGGATGTATGTATGGTTGTTTGTTTATATTTTACATGCTGTATGTCATGTATGTACCTTCAGAAGGATTTCTGATCGAGACTGGTTGATTGACTGACGCAGTTCAAGCTACCTAGCTGGCTACCTGTCTACTCGGACTTGTCGGCCACAATGGTAGCGTCGTCATCGATTTCGTCACGCTCCTCCTCCTTGATGATGGTGGCGGCGTCGTCGTCATTGTCGTCGCCATCGTCCTTGGGCTCGTTCTTGATGGTGACGGTTTCGTTCGCCTCGGTAATAGCATTGGCTTCAGCTTCTTCCTCCCTGGATGATACGAAGATTCAGTATTAGCTGGTTTATCAGGTGAAGAGGGGACTGAAAGGGTCTTTCTTACTTCTTCACGCGAGCTCCGTTCTTGCCATTGCCAGTGGCCTTCTCGGCAGGAGTCTTGCGCTGGCGTTTCGGCTTGGTTGGAGTCTCGTCAGCACCAGCGAGAACAGTGGTGTCATCCGACTCAGAAGTGAGGGCATCAGCCTTGCGCTTCCTGCCAGCAGCACCCTTCTGCTTTGCAGGAGTCGCGATAGGAGTGCTGGGCTGAGCGTCGTCATTCTCATTAGCTTCGGTTCCAGCACCGCGGTTCTCGTACTCCATCAGCTTTCTAAGGGCCTTGCGGTAGAGGACCTGGGCTGAGCCCTTGGTGTAGCCGCCCTTCTCTGCGACCTTCTCGTAGTCGATCTGGTGAAGTTAGCTGGCTGTCAAGTACTCATGGCAGTGATTTGATTATAGTATTTTGCAGTAAAGAATACAGGACGGTGAGGGTAAAGACGAAAGGACACACCTTGCCAGCGTCATTGTACAAGACACCGAGACAAATCAGCTTGAGTTCGCTGTTGGACAAGCCAAGGAACAGCTCGCCTTTAGCAGGTGAAGCCATCACGACAGACAGTTGCTTAGCAGATCGTAAATGTGGAGACAAGGATGATGATCAAGAATGTGAGGGTTGCTTCTGTTGAGATGCGGTGTCGTGCAGTGTAGTTGAGATGAGATGAAAGCCTGAGGAGGAGAATTGAGATGAAGAGGGGAAAAATCCCAGCGAGATATTTCTCTCTCTGTTGCAGTGTGGAGAGTGAAAGAAAGGTGAAAGAGTGAGAGGAAGCACAAGTGAAGTGAGGTTTGGCAGGTGAAGGACCAGGCCACCATTCAGACACTCTCCTGCAAGAAAAGCAAGCGAAAAAGAACGCTAATTTGGTTTATTTCGTGAATATTGAGCAGGAAACTCTCGCTTAACAAGCTATAGTCGTGCAGCGTGAAGGGAGAACTCATTAGGTGATAGTCGATAAAGCACAGTTAGGCAATGTTGATAGTTACCAAGTATGGAAACCTTCTACATACAGTGCCTTTCTTGACGATAACTGTCTAAGTAATTTGCCATAATATTAGCATCACGATATCTGGTGATAGACACTACATTGCCTTCACTGTGTAGACTGTACTATGCCTATGATGCCTCCTCAGCCTCCTGCAGACCAGCCTACAACCCTTTGCGTGCCATAAGTATCAACATCTCCTTCACCCCATAACGAGCGGGGGCTACTGGCCTAGTTGTCCAGCCAAGCTACAGCAGGACTGTCCTTGACTGTACGGTCTAGAGCTGCAGGCTCCCAGTTCGAATCCCCTCAGGTCGAGGTGCAGCGGTGCGGTCATTACCAAAATCTTGCTAACATCCAATGAGACGGTAAAGGAGGGGGACAGTAAAATCTCTGCCCGCCAAAAGCATAGGCGGGGGTTTTCGTAGCATCCCTTGGTCACGCCTAAGGCTGGCTGGGGGGTGTGAGCTTTTTGCTTGTTTTTTATTGAGTTCTTTTGCAAGCTGATATGGAAACCTGTTCTTTCCAGACGTGCTGTTCCTTGATATCTTGCTATAGCCTTCGGATTCAGTATGTAGCTTTATGAAGTCTGATGCTGGCCTTTTTTCGATAAGCAGCTTTCGATACAGCCAACTTGTGTGGTCTTGTTTTCACTGGCAGTTACGTCTCTCTTACGAATGGACGCATATCATGCAAACAATCATTTCTTAGGCACATTATTCTGGATCTGCTTATAAACGTGCTCCCAGACTTCAGGATAGAACGTCGACGTCCCCCGCGCAGGCTTGCTTTTCTCCGTCGTGTAGAACTGGGTCAGGGTGCGGCCCTGCCACCAAGGCAGAGGCACCGGATTCTGGTTTCGGAAGCTCACCGGCCGCGACCACGTCCTGTCCGGGACGAGATCTGCCAGCCGGACTTCGGTCTGCCGGGGGATAGTCGTGAACTTCATCGTGTTTATGTAGAGCGTCGCATATGGCGGCAGATTCTTCGCATATTGGATAGCCTGCTCTCGAGACCGCCGCGCAGCGACAGGAAGAGCCAGATGGATATAGTTCACAAACGGCGCGGACGTATACGCCACAAATAGGAGAGGGAGAGCACCACCGACGACAACTGAATCAGTCAGACCACGCACTTGCCAGAATCGAGAGGAGTGTCTTCTTACTTGCAGGGGCAATCCACGCAGGAAAGTCAGATGCCCAAAAGGCCGGCGCCACCACTAGAACCGAAACTCCAAAGATGAATATCGTGGTGACGCGGAGCATTCCAAGGAAGATGGTCTTCCCCGTGCCTCCATGGTAGATCAATATCCTCTCTGGCGGTCCTGCAGGCCATTCTCAGCGCTCGAAAATCCCAATTGCCTGTTGGCATGTTTCCTACCTCGTCTGACGGTTGTTTTAGGCGGACTGGTCGGGGCAGGTGGTAGCGTTGATGGCTGTTTCGACGGAGCAGTCTCTTTCAGCGTCGTTTTGAAGCGGGCTGATAGTCTGCTACTGAGATCTCGTCGGATCCATCTTGGAAGCACAAGCGAACGGAGCTGCGGGTGGAACAGGATCGAGTGTCGCATGGCGGATGACCGTGCCAGACGGCCAATGGCGCGAAGCCCAGTCAGAACGGTCCAGAAGATGCCGTAGCTGTTTCTGATGTCTCTGCGCGACAATTGAACTGTTTATCTCCGAGCTGATCTCGAAATGACGGTTCTGCGGCGGAACTGCAGCTGCGGACTTGCAGCGGAACGGAGTCGGGCAGGCTTGGCGCCGATCCGTCAGATCGCTTCGATCTCCAGGATGGCCTGGCAGCTGCCACGGTGCACCATCGCCCGCGTCGTTTGTCCAGCTCCCCTCCTTCGCGAGCCGTGTTGATTCCAAGTATGCATGCTTCGATTTTTTAACATCGACTGCGACGCGAGACGCCATGACGGAGCCTCCCCGCGGCCTGTGGCCGTGCCTGCTGTCGGTCTGCCTGGGACTGCTCTTCCTCGCCCTGCCTGGTGCAGCATACGAGGCTGTCTCGGATGCGACGCTGAAACTGCTTCCACGGCCCAACGGCGACTTTGATATCCATAATGGAGCCATCTTGGCTCCGATCCTGCGGCCTCGCGTGCCAGGGACTCCGGGCTCGACCGCGGTGCTCAACCATTTCGTCGACTTCTTCCGCACCAACCTGCCGGACTGGAAGATTGAATTCCAGAACTCGACCTCGAAAACGCCCGTGACGGGAAACAAGGAGGTTCCGTTTGTGAATTTCATCGCGTCTCGCGACCCGCCGTGGGCCTCGGTGGGCGACGTGGAAAGGCTGACGCTGGTCGCCCACTACGACAGCAAATACGAGCCAGAAGGATTTATCGGAGCCATCGACAGCGCAGCGCCATGTGCGATGATCATGCACGCCGTGCGGAGTATCGATGCGGCGTTGACCAGGAAATGGGGAGCCATGGAGGCGGAGGGCCAGAGAGACACATCCCTGGATGCATCCACGGGCATCCAAGTGATATTTCTTGACGGGGAGGAGGCGTTCAAAAAATGGACGGCGACGGACTCCTTGTATGGATCGCGAGCTCTCGCGGAGGAATGGGAGCACCGGACCAATCCCGCCATGTCGACCTTCAAGACGCCGCTGTCGGCCATCTCCCTTTTTGTGCTTCTGGACCTCCTGGGCTCGAAAGATCCCAGGGTTCTGTCTTATTTCCCCACGACCCATTGGGCCTATCAGAACATGGGCACTCTCGAAAAACGGCTGCGGGAATTGAGACAATTCAAGTCTTCGCCGAATTACCAGGGAAAGCGCGCACCGGAGCCTACGTGGTTTGTCGACACGTCCAGGAGTGAGCGGGATCTCCAACCCTGGGGTGCCATCCAGGACGACCATATCCCATTCTTACACCGCGGGGTGGAAGTCCTCCACGTCATCGACACGCCGGCATCGACTGGCTTTCCCGCCGTCTGGCACACCATCAACGACGACGGCGAGCACCTGGACATAGACACGGTCGAGGACTGGAGCCTGCTTGTCACGGCGTTTGCGGCCGAATGGATGGAGCTGGAGGGTTACTTTTCTGAAGCAGACGCGACGCCGTCTCAGGCGGGATCCGCGGTGCGGAGTCAGGAAAGCAGCAATGGGGCCAAGTCCATCAAATGGAAGAGAAAACCCAGTAGTGACAAGACAGAATTGTAAGATACCTGCATGGAATCCACCCTAGTTTTTACGAATACCTTTTATGCTGGTTGTCTTGTATGCATTATTCTGTTATGATTATCTATATACATCAGTTAGGACAGCGCTGATGCTTTCCCATTCTAGTGCCTGAATTGTACAGCACAGAAAAAATCAGAGTACTTGGCCTTTCCATGGAAAAGAGACGTCTACGGAGTACGTATAGAGCAAGGTACCTGCATCTACTGAAACGACTGCTAGGTCGAATCTGAGAATGCGTGTATTCAATTGCCTTGTCTAATGCACACATGTCTGCAGTACACTATACAATGCAGAACAATGAGGCCTCTATATTTGATTTGACATCTTAACGCCAAAAATCTAGAGAAATATGGCTCGAAGAAGCTCTGCTGGTTAGATCATATTCCCCAAAATGTATCCGCCCAGCCAGACAGCTCCCCATGTCGGCTGCAAGACAGCCCTCAGCACGGCAGGGCCAGGGCAAGTTCCACTCAGCCCCCATCCAACTCCGAAGGCGACTGCTCCCGCGATGAAACGCCAGTCAATGTCCGCCACGGTGAGCGTAGGCAGACTCCAACGTTCTGTCAACGTGGGCTTGGCCTTTCCTCCTGGCTGTCCCGGGTTCGTGGCGAGGTAGCCACAGAGAGAGGGGCCGATTCCAAAGAGGATGATCAGGGCGAGCGACGGGTCGAAGCGGGACGGATCCGTCAGGAAGGCGAAGAACCGGATCACCTTGTGCGGGTCAGCCATTCCGGAGAAGAGGAGTCCCAGGCCGAACTGGAGGCCTGCGAGGTAGGCAAACAGCGATCTGGACTGTCGTGATGGCGTCAACAGCCGCGGGACGAGAACAAGATTGGTGGCCAAGGAGAGAACAGTGCTTGAGGCCATGACGGCCAATTCGGAGGTCGAGGGGTAGACAGGCATGTAGCAGGGGACACCGTCACAGGGCGGGATGAGACTCTTCCCACCGGGGCGCACCAGGTTGGCGGTCAGAAGAGCGGTGGTGAAGAACACCGAGGTTGCGATCAGCGAGCGGGGGGAGAGACGAGACAGGCCGCAGAGCATGTGTCCGGACGTGCAGCCTTTGCCGTTCTGTCGTCGTGGATTAGCTTTGCATTCGTGTTGTGCTTCCGTTAAAAATCTACCTTTGTCCCCCATCCCACCAACAGACCCAATCCCAGCGTTGACAGCACCGACGTCCATGAAGAGAAGGATACCGTGTCCGGATAGGTCGGAATCAAGGATGGCGCCAGGAAGGAAACCAGGGCAGGGCTGGACGCCAACCCGGCGATGATGGGAACATTATCCTCCAGACTGGGGCGGAGGAGGCATCCGGAGAGCAGCGACGAGATGCCAAAGACCTTGCCATTGTGCAGCAGCAGACCGAAGGAACCACCGAAGAGGAGCAGTGCTCCTAAGGAAGTATGGATGGGCGTGAACATTTATTATTTAGTTCATGTAGCGGTCCGCCAGATTGATCTATCTTCGCAGAGAGCCCACGTTCGTTTTCACTAATTAAGTAATACAAATGGCATAACTAACAGAATATATATTATATATACGAGTCATTCAGTATCTACGGAGTATAGCATAATTATATAACAGGCTTAACAGCCAGGAGTTATTATATCATCCTTTGAATCCGAACGCCCCATCCCGGCCGCTCGGGGAAGGGCCCGAAGGGGGCTAAATAAAAAAGGAGAAGCCCGAGGGAATGGGAACGGCACTCATTGGCAGGACACACAAGTCACACAAGTCACACAACGGACTAGGCATGTACCCCATGCGACTCATGACTCGTAATGACTCGTAATGCCATATTGTATCCAGGTAATAGTAATAATAGCAAGAATCCAGATTTTTGACGTGATTCGGGGACCAGAAATGATAGACCAGCCGGGATCCTAACACGGACGGGGGCAGAAATGGTCCCCGATATGGACCGAGCGAAGGAATTAGATTTAGGTCAGGCCTGAGGCCACCTAATAGGGTCCTATAGGGGCCTAAAATTGTCATTGGCAATAGACCAGTCCAACCTTACAGGACAAACAGGCTATGATCCGTCATTATGATAGGTAAATGATAGATAGCTGTTTAATCGCTCCGCGTTCAGGTTCATGGCGTGAGAGAGTCTTTGAAGTCTTTGACCAGACTGTCAAAGCTGCAACTAGCCGTCCACCGAAGATCCCGACCCCGGCCTGCCCCGCCTTTCTTTCTGCCAATCACGGTTCCTGCTTAAGGTTCTTGGTAGCACGATTAGACTGAAAGGAGCTCCTGATACTCGAGCACACTGAATAATAATATCCATGCCTGTACTCGGTATATAGAGATGCTTCTATTCTTGCTTCTATCACTTACTTACGAAAGCTGTTTTGCGTTATTTTAATTCTCTAGCGCTTAAGCTTGTACAGTTGTCTTTCCTGAACTGTTATTTCTAGCATTACTAACTTGGAAGTCACTAATCTCTTTTAGTATACGCCCTCCTCGTGCTAGAGCAGATTAGGCAAGTCACTTGACAGCCCTCCCCCCGGACGGCAGGTCTTAGCCCGTTTAGTCAGAAGTTTGTAACCATATCCGGACTAGCGTATTTCTGCATATCCTATCTGGGAAAAAACCAAAACGGCCTCTCCCAAAGTGGATAAATGCACATTTAATTCCGCGGCACAGCCGAACGCACTAGGCCCAATCCAGCATAGCAAGCGAGCACACACACTACACCCTCTCGTCGTCTTCTCTCCGCCGTCACCACCATCATCCAACTTCCGAAGGGTCGACCACGCACAGCGACAAGCATCCGCCGGAATGCCTACTCGACTGACCAAGACGCGGAAGCTCCGCGGCCACGTCTCTGCCGGACATGGTCGTGTCGGCAAGCACAGGAAGCACCCTGGTGGTCGCGGTATGGCTGGTGGTCAGGTAGGTATCATTTCGTCGAAGTGCAGAAAGAGCTGCTAATTCGTGAAATAGCACCACCACCGCACCAACCTCGACAAATTCCACCCCGGTTACTTCGGTAAGGTCGGTATGAGGCACTACCACCTCCTGCGCCAGCACTACTGGAAGCCGACCATCAACCTGGACAAGGTAATACACCATCATTTGCCCTGGACGTTCTGCCCGCTAAGACTCTACAGCTCTGGTCCCTGGTCCCCGAGGAAACGCGCGACAAGTACCTGAACAGCGACGCGCCGGCCGACAGCGCCGTCGTCTTCGACCTTCTCCCGCTGGGCTACTCCAAGGTCCTGGGTAAGGGCCGTCTGCCGAACGTGCCCATTGTCGTCAAGGCGCGCTACGTGAGCAAGGAGGCGGAGCGGAAGATTAAGGAAGTTGGTGGTGTCGTTGAGCTGGTTGCATGAATGATAGAAATACAAAAAATACGCCTGTTACAAAGAAGGCTATTTAATTATGATATGATGGTCAAAAACAACGTTTCTTTTTTCATCTCTCTCATCATGGGCATATCATCGAGGGTTTGTTCGCGACAATATATAAAATTTTCCACTTGAGACTTCCAGCTATGTACGCCATATCAACGAATGGGGGAAAAAAAGAAACAACAAAAACAACAAAATTCTTCCGCACGGAGTTTTGCATCTTGCATGGCTAGGAATGCCTTCAATAGGCCAGCCTATGGCCCTGGCCCTATAGGTCTTGCAGGACGAAAAAAAAAAGGTCTCTTAGAGTTAGAGATATAAGAATCTCTTTCTTTCTTCCATGGAACAGTATCAGGACAGGAAATCTTTATTTATTACTTACTTACTGCAAGTGGAAGGAAGGGAAGAAATGATGAGATTAGAGAAGATAGGATATAAGACAAAAGAAGCAATTTCGATCTGGGCAGATTCACCGGTCCACCAATTGAGTCGATTTGTTCATGTTCAGTCACAATCGCACGTACGTACTGTACGTAATGGATTCTTACTTGAATAAATGCTCAATCAGGTACAATCTTCACGCCAAACAAAAGTTCCCTTGTAAAAAAAAAATGAAAATAAAGACGTATATACTACAGTTTTCCTGACTATGAAAGTTCACCTCCATACTGTATTACAGTAAATGGGGTGAGTAAGGTTGTTGGAAGCCGTTTCTCAATTCAGTAGCATGTCGGGTATGATTGATGTGGTGACTTTGTTGATAAATTACCCGTTATAGATAGATCGATATACAGCTATCTATCTATCTATCTTTCTTTCTTTAACAAGGTTAAGTAAGAGGGGTTATCTATTTCGAATTTATAGTTTTTAATGCTATTTATCTAGTGTCTATGCGTCTTGTCAATAAATAAGTCCAGTAAATAATAATACCCCCGCTGTTAATATAGTAAATATACTACTCCGTACTACTCCGGTGGGGTATACCTCCACTTCCACACGCTGACTGACTGGAATGACTCGAGACTTGCCGGATTGAATCCTGGCATATCAGTGCCTGTCGATGAGATGTGTTACAGTTGAACAGTTAGAAAACATGTCGAGTTGTGCTGTTGTAGAGGCTGTCAGCCCTAATGCAGCGAACCCTGTTGATCGACAGATCATCCCGCTCCCCAATCTTCTTCTCTAGATCAGATCACATCAGTTACATGTACTGTACATGAATTGATCGAAGTAGCCAAGCTACCATGATCCCCGTCGCCATCGTCGGAGGCGGACCCGTCGGCCTCGTGACATCCCTCTCTCTCTCTCGCAGCATGGCGTCCCCCACGTCCTCTACGAACGGCACCCCGGCACCTCCATCCACCCCAAAGCCGTGGGCCTGAACCAGCGTATACCAGCTTCGGCCCCGGGGGCAAAGAGATCTTCTCGCGCGACGCATGGGGTGGTGGACAGTACCGCGACGAATACGACCGCGCCAGTCCCTGCGACTATACCATCCTGCCGCAGATCCGCCTCGAGCCGATTCTCCTCCGCAGAGCGAAGGAGTTAAACCCGGAGGGTATCTTTCACTCCGCCCAGGTGGTCGGCATCGAGGAGGGCGCGGACTCGGTGCAGTTGAAGGTCCATTTCCTCGAACAGCAGCGCTTCGAGACCGTCGAGGCCCGCTTCGTCGCTGCGGACGGCGGCCGCACCGTTGCAGACGCCCTGGGCATCCAAGTCCAAGGCGACCGCAACGTCGTCGACATGGTGTCGGCGCATTTCCGCGCGCCGCTGAGAAGGCATCACCCGGATCCGAACAGCCTGATAACGTGGTTCATCAACCCGGCCATGGGGGGGCAGCATCAGCACGGGATATCTCTACCATCTGAGGCCGTACCCTCTACATCCTGAGACGGAGGAGTGGGTGTTTGCCTGCGCGCGCATCCCCAACGACCCGCAGAAATTCGAGGCCGACGACATGATCCGGCAGATCAACCAGACGCTGCAGATTCCGGGCCTGGACATCGAGCTGCTCAGTCTCAGCCACTGGTTCGTCAACGCCGTCGTGGCAGAACGCTTCCGCAGTGCAGGAAGGAGGGTCTTCCTCGCGGGGGATGCCGCCCATCGCATCCCGCCCTGGGGCGCTCTGGGGCTGAATACGGGCTTACAGGACGTGCAGAATCTGATCTGGAAATTGGCCCTGGCCCTGGCGGCGCCTCCGGAGAAGCAGAAGGAATACGATGCGCTGCTGGATACGTACGAGGAGGAGCGCCGACCCATCGCGCTCCGGGTCGCCGAGTCGAGTCTGCGGAATCTGCGCAACCACGCGCTGGCGATGGATCGTGCGCTGGGCATCGATCCGAATGCGTCTCCGGAAGCGAGTGTCAGAAACGTTGCCGCCTTTCTCGACCATAATAACAGCGCGGAAGGCAACAAGCTGCGTGACGCGGTGCAGAAAGCGCAGCGCATTCTCGACTCGGAGTTCCATGCCCCTGGAGCGGAGATCGGATGGTTCTATCCCTCTGTTGATCGAGAGGGCGAGGGGGAGAGGAGTCGGCATGGCGGGCAGCTCGATGCAGAGGGGCAGCTGGATATTTCTGCCTACCATCCGTCGAGCATCCCGGGCCATCATATGCCGCATTTCTGGCTCCATAAGAGCAATGGTACATGCACTTCGACGCGCGATCTCCTCCGGCCAGATAGATGTGTCCTCTTTACGAAAGCGTCGGACCCTTGGAGAGCAGTGGGCAGCCATCTCGTCGAGGTGGAAATCCTCGACGGCGAAGGCGAGAACTGGCGCGATGTGGATGGCAGGTGGAGGAGTGTCTGTGGCGTGAGTGACGATAGTGCCACCCTCGTGCGCCTGGATGGGATTGTCGTCTGGAAGAGCGCGCATCCTGTCCCGAAGAGCGAGTTGGAGAGTCTCGTGAAGCGACTTCTCAAACTGCCGGATTCACACGAGTCTCGCGCATGACTTGAAGATTACATGCATTGTTCGCCATCACCAAGTTCTTCAGCTTGAACAGACCATTGGCGGGATACAGTGTTTTATTCTATTCTAGTCGGGCAATTGGACAGCCTGCTGGTCATGTATGGATATGTATTTGTCTGCTTATACTTCAAGCAATCTTGCGACAGGCATACTATCAAATCATCCACGATGTCCACGATATAGCTGCATTCAGCATGGAAATAAGAACTTTCCAAGTAACTTCATGGGTTGGGGATATATAGCATATTATATAGGATACATGTATTTAGAGTCGAGACCCTTAAAGCTTTTCTGGATCCTTGAAACGATCCATCTGTCAGCCAAAAAAGAGAGAGAGGGAGAGGGAGGGAGGGAGTGTACATCTCATTATGAGAAGCATTACTGATTTGTACAAGTAGATTTACAAGTAGATTTAGGCAAGTAGATAAATAGATAGATAATAACTAAGGCAAAGCGAGCAAGACAGTGAAAAATAATATTTATACCTATATTAAGCATTAAGCCGAAAGAGGAAACTCAGCAATTAGCCCTGTAGAGCTACAAGCATGCTGCATAGACGGGAATTGTATAAACGTTGTTTGTACTCCGTATAGGACTGATCCTTCATCTGTAGTGTTCAGCACCGTAGAGTCAAGTTAATATTCGCACCAATATTTAATCCATAATGACTATTCATCTTGATTTGTTTGGAATTAAGTTTGGAGCTGATTGATTTACTTTGCTGGACACGCTGACTAAGCAACGGACTCTTGGAAGCTGCCTGAACCAACTTCTCTCATGCAATCGACAGTTACAGTTCCATGTGAAACATCATTCCAGTCTGAAAGGTCTGACTGGATTAAACTGTCATACGAACTGATCATTCTCCACTCATCGAAGCTGAGAAATCTACCGTCATAGCGATGGCGGTGAGACTGACGTAAAAAAGAACGATAATTTCTCTTCTCGAGGATCCATCAGCTAGCTCATTAGACAAGTACCTAATCCAACGCTTGTCCAATGCAATGGTCTAGACTATTATGAAGCGCAGCCAGCCCTCTGGGTTTCACGAGTCGACCGTGAAGCACCAGAAGACCGATCCGGAGCAGACATCAAACCTTCCATCCAGTCTGCATGCTCCAGTGTCTCCGCCACGCAGGAGGGCAGCAACCGACAGGAGCAGAAAAGACAATGACAATGACAATCATCAAAGCAAGACTGCAATAATACAGGTTGAAGATGACGGCCCCAGTCTAGCCGCCGTCGAAGCTGGCCAGGTCCAGGTCTCCGACCCTCTGGCGCTCTTTTCCTCCAGACTCGCTCAAGCCGCAGCTGCGCGGGCAGCGGTGCCAGATCATCCCCAGCTGTCCATCCCCGAGTGGGTGGAACTCTACCGGCGCAACCAGCATCCTCACGGCCGCCATTTTGTGATCCATCAGCATGATCACCCTGTTGCTGGTCCTCATTATGATCTCAGGCTGCAGTTTTCCGAGACGAGCTCCCTCAGCTGGGCGATTATGTACGGTCTTCCTGGGAATCCGAACAGTCGGAGGTTGAATCGGAATGCAACGGAGACGCGGGTGCATTGTTTGTGGGTATGCATTATTTCTTAAACCCGATGACTATTTTCGTACGCAAGTTAACGCTCTCAGAACCATCTCATCGAAACAGGATCTGCAAAAACAGGCAGCATGATCATCTGGGATACCGGCGAATACTCGATCTTGCCGTATCGTCCAGATCCTCAAGTTCCTGAAACGGACGACTCGAGCTCGGACATTTCCGAGTCGTCGTGGTCCCACGAGGGTCCTTCAGAGAGCGAGAAACTGCGAGAAGCATTCCAGAACGTATGTTATCAGCCAGTCTTCCTGGGGATAGGTAGATGCTGAAGATGGAACAGCGCAAGATTCGACTGCGATTGCATGGCACCCGCCTGCCACCAAACTATACAATCGTCCTTCGGCTCTCCACGGAGGATGACAACGCGGCACGATCGAGAGCGACTCCCCGTAAGCGACGCAGACGCACGGCGCCATCGACGGCCAGCACGCCGTCGACTTCTCCGTCTCCTCCGGAAGGACACCTGCCAGATGACAGCAACGGCGACGGCGACTCCGCATCCGCGTCCGACGACGAGGTCATCGACGAGCAGACGCGCCTGACAAACGCCTACCCAGGAGCCACCAACAGCATCGGCTCCATCCACCAACGGCGATGGTTCATCACGCTGGACCGGGCCAACAGCGGCTTCGAGCCTCGCAGCCAACCGGGGGATCGAAAGAAGACGTGGGTGCGAAAGCGAGTGTACGACGAGGTCGATGACAAAGGCAGATTACTCGGTTTCGAGCCATTCTATGTCCGGGGACCGGAGGTGGAAAGGAGTGTGGTGACGGGGCGGACGGGGTATGAGGTGCTTCGGGATGAGGGCGTAGAGGGGTTTGTGCCGAGACGGGGGTGGAGGGCTGTTCTTGATTAGATCTATACTACTAGTAATTAATATTAAGAGGTTTGTATGTGTAGCTAGATGTAGTTATAGTGGATTATAACTAGGTGAGATTATTCAGACTAGTTCCATTTCCATGCTAGATTCAAAACAATAAAAATGGAAAGAAAGGAAGGAAGAAGGAAAAGAAAGGCAAAAAAAAAGTTATATTGTATTGTTTCGTGCCGTAGCCCTAGGCATGGTAGATTATGATCATTGGTATAGATCAGATGCAGCCTTGTTTTTTTTTCTTTTCAGTGATTTTACTCATAGTACTCTTTCTTTCTTTTTTCTTTCTTTTCTCTTCTTTTTTTTTCCTCTTTTTTTTCCCTCTCTTTTTCTTTCTTTTCTAGTCACTAGAAACAATTAGGAGGAAAGTTTCTTTTTTTTTGATGAACCATTATACAAGCTTTCTTATACTCTCTCTGTCCAATAGGTAAGATCTACCCCACTGATTAGTACTACCCCGACTTTCCAGAATCGGACCCCGACAAGGCCAGCCAGCCAGCCGTAATATCATCCGAACCTTCGCTTTTTTTTTCTTTTACGTCATGTCTGTATGATTCAATGTGAGTCACAATCCATCAAGCGGTGAGGGCTGACCGCACTGATTCGACATGACTCCATGATTGGCGTGATATCGTGCAGGATTGTGTGACTCTTCGGGGAATGTTTTGCAGGGCCAATAATGGGTGGCTTTTCCGCTGTTATCGGACGGAAAGCTTGCTGTGGATCGCGGAGCTTGTCTGCAGCTAGTTTTTTTTTGGATATTGCAGGGCTTGTCCACTTTTGATGGAATGAATGAACTACAGAAGCAAGAACTGTCCAGCAGAGATGCGTCTGCAGTAGGGATTGTGCTCTGTTTTATTCTCACATGCTGTGAGATTTATTCTATAGTTCTATCTGTGTATCTATGTCTATGGCTATGAGAGAAGCTTAATTCCCCGCTACTCAGGTTGCAGTGCATGCGTCTGTGCATCGTATAGCGAACAAAGAAGAAAGCAGAGTCTGATTTGATTTTTACGAGCTGAGTCTTACGAACTGAGTCATAGTCTAGATCATGGAGTAGCTTGATAATCAACCCCACCCGTGACCGACTAGCGCCATCGCGTCAGTTGCCCATTTCTCCTTCGATTAAATTATTAATTAGTTACGACCTTCCTACGTTGCTTCTCGCGTCAACCCTTCGGTCTAGAAAGCTCCTCCGTGCTTTCTGGCTCTGCCTCGCCTGTCAGCATCATGTGCTGACCTTGTCCCTCGTTCCATCCACCAGGTTCGCCACGATAAGCAGCATCATGGCGGTGATCTCCCCCCAGACAGCCTCTGTTCTCACGGGCTCCTGCGGTCTGTTTCTGATCGCCCTCTTGACCTCCCCGGCTGTCCGGGCCACCGCAGCGCGCCTCGTCTCGAAACGACCTGAGAGCGCATCGGACGCGACGCGACAATTGTACCAGGATGAGGACGGCACCGCCACCGAGGAATCCGTCAAGGCATTCTCTGATAAGATCCAGCGACTCTCCATCGCTGTTCTCTCTGCCATTGGCTTTCTGGCTTCCCTGGCACAGGCTGTCCTCGTGACGCTCCAGCTTCCCAGGGGCTTGTTCGTTGAGCATTGGCTTCAATTCGCCGGCTGGGTAGGTGAACGCGTGCTGTAATGAATATGGATGCTCCGGTGAAGGCTGACCATTCTGCCAGTTTCTCCTAGCCGCCCACGTAGTCGCTCTCTTCTCAGAGCCTTCGTCCACCAAAAGATTCAGCCTGGGTATCTACGGTTTCCTCGCCACTGTCCTCTCAATTGCGATTCCTGTCGCTGAAATCATCCTCCTATGGCCTACGGGAAGGCTCCACGGCTTGGGCCCTGTCTACACCGGCCTCCTCGTCGCCCAGCTTGTCGCCGCCTTCTTCACCAGTCTGCTGTACATTCTTCTCCCCCGCCGTCCCGATGTCTTCCGCGACGGAAAGCCCGTGGATCGCCAATTCACTGTCCCGCTCCTGGGCCGTCTCACGTTTGCCTGGGTGGACCCGCTCTTGAAATTTGCCATTCGGAACAGGGGCCTCGAGATCGACAATCTTCACGTCGTCGATAATGCTACGAGATCCATCAACCTGCGGGCCAAGCTGGAGAGAGTGAAAGGATCGCGCAGGCTGTGGAAGGCGCTTTTCATCACCTATTGGCGGGCCCTGGTCATGCAGCAGATCCTGACGCTCCTGAATGCGTTCCTGAGTTTCTCGCCCCAGATGGCTCTTCTTGGCATACTGAGGTCGCTGGAAGCTCGTGAAATCGGAACCGAGGTGCCGTGGGAAACCTGGGGCTGGGTGCTCGGTCTCGGCTTGCTCATGATGTCCTCATCCGCCATCGAGGCTTGGCTGTTCTGGCTGGTCTGGAGCAAGCTCGCCATTCCGGTCCAGGAACAACTGGCGGCAGTGGTGTTTGCCAAGTCGATGCGGCGAAAAGACGTGAAGGGGAGGAAGAAGGCCAATTCTGATGACGAATCGGACCCCCTCATCCAGGCCGTCGGCGAAGGAGATGATGACGAGGCGAACCTGCAGAAGACTCGCCAGAGTATCATTAACCTGGTCGCAGTGGACTCGAAGCGGATTGCCGAGTGTGCCGCATGGAACTATCTGTTGCCCTCGGCGTTGCTGAAACTGGGCATTGCCTGTTTCTTCCTCGTGCGACTCCTAGGCTGGAGAGCGACCCTCGCTGGGTTGTCCGTGTCGGTGATCGTCACGCCTGTCAACATCTACGCCGCGCAGAAGTATTCCGCTGCCCAGGGCGATCTCATGAAGTACCGCGACCAGAAGATGGCCGTCCTGACCGAAGTCCTGCAAGGCATCCGGCAGGTCAAGTTCTCCGCGCTAGAAGGCCCGTGGCAAAAGAAGATCATGGATATCCGAGCCACCGAACTGCTCGCGCAGTGGACCGCGTTCATGTATGATATCACTTTGATTACCATCTGGATTCTGGGCCCCATCATGCTCTCGGCCGTGTCTTTGGCCGTCTACGCGCTGATCAACGGCGAACTGAGTGCATCCGTGGCCTTTACGTCGATCTCGATCTTTGGATCCCTGGAGATGTCTCTTGCCGTTCTGCCAGAGCTGATCTCGGACTTTATCGAGGGATGGACCAGCCTGGGTCGCATCGACAAACATCTAGATGCAGCGGAAAAGACGCAAGCGACCATTCCTGCGGATTCCGTATCGTTCGAAGGAGCTTCGGTTGCGTGGCCGGCAGACGAAGATACCCCGCTCGAGGAACGATATGTGCTGCGCAACCTCAACATGAAATTCCCCGACAAGGGTCTCACGGTGATCTCGGGGAAAACGGGTTCAGGGAAAAGTCTCCTCCTCGCTGCCATCCTGGGAGAATGCGACATCTTGGATGGCGTCGTCAAGGTGCCGCAGCCACCTGCTCTCGAGGATCGATACGATGAATTTGCAAACAGCGACAACTGGATTATCGATTCTGCGATCGCCTATGTCGCCCAGACGCCGTGGATCGAAAACGCGAGCATCAAGGACAACATCCTGTTCGGTCTCCCGTATAACGAGACGCGCTACCGCAAGGTGTTGTTTGCCTGCGCCTTGAACAAAGATCTGGAAATGCTCCCCGATGGCGAGTTGACCGACATTGGCGCGAACGGCATCAACCTGAGCGGGGGACAGAAGTGGCGCGTTTCCTTCGCACGAGCGCTCTACTCTCGCGCGGGCATTCTGGTGATGGACGACATTTTCAGCGCGGTGGATGCGCACACGGGCCGCCATCTGTACGAGCACGCCCTGACCGGCGAACTGGGTCAGAACAGGACGCGAATCCTGGTCACGCACCATGTCGCCCTGTGTCTGCCGCGCACGGACTACTCGGTCTTCTTGGAGAACGGCACGGTTCGACATGCTGGAACCATCGAGGAGTTGAGGAAGACGGACAGTCTGAACTCCATCTTGACCAAAGAGCATGAAGCCGGGGATTCTGGTAGCAGAACGCCGGTGGCAGACGATGAGGAGCTGTCGAACGAAGACGGCGCGTCGCTTCAGAAGATTAAGAGTTCTGCCGTGGACAACAACAGCAACGACAACGAAGCCACCAAGCGCAAAGTGCCGCGCAAGTTTGTCGAGGACGAGAAGCGGGAAATCGGGTCTATTCGACTGGCGATATACAAGAAATACTTCCAGACCGGTGGAAGCGTTCCGTTCTGGTTTATGGTGTTCCTCTTATATGTCTCCTACATGGTGATTCTGGTCGGAAGGGTAAGTAACAGTGTCTATAATAGAAGAAGCTGTTTTCTAATGTCTACAGTCATGGTGGGTGAATATCTGGACGGGCTCGGCCAGCGCCGAGTCGCATTCCCCCCAGTATTATCTGTCTGTTATGAACCAGGCAATCAGCCAGGTCACCGTCGCCCGCACCGATAGCGACCTCTGGTTCTATCTCGGCGTCTACGTCGCCCTGTCTGTGATCGCCTGCGTCCTGGGAACACTGCGGTACTACTGCATCCTGTCTGCGTCTATCCGCGCGTCGCGCAACCTGTTCAACCAGCTGACATACGCGGTCCTGCGGGCGCCGCTCCGATGGCTGGACACCATGCCCGTCGGCCGGATTCTGAACCGGTTCACGGCCGACTTCCACCTGATCGACTCGCGGCTGGGCTACGATGTGGGCTTCATGGCGTACCACGTGCTGGAAGTCCTGGGGATCATCATCGCGGGCGTGCTCGTCTCTCCGCTGCTGATCGTCTTCGCCGTCGTCCTTCTCGGGCTGTGTCTCCATTTCGCGGTGCGCTATCTGGCCGGCGCGCGCGAGATCAAGCGGCTGGAGAGCAACGCCAAAAGCCCCATCTTCGAGCAGTTTGGCTCTGCGCTCGCGGGGCTGGGCACCATTCGTGCTTTCACCAAGGTGGAAACCTACATCCACCGCATGTACGGCCTGATCGACCGCCATGCGCAAGCCTGGTGGCATCTGTGGCTCTTCAACCGCTGGTTCAGCTTCCGGATGAACCTCATCGGGGCGCTGTTCTCGATGATCACGGCGGCACTTATCGTGTCGATCCGCGGGATGCGAGCGTCCCTGGCGGGTTTTGCACTCAGCTTCGCGCTGCAGTACACGGGAGCCATCTCGTGGTCGCTGCGTCAGTACGCGAACGTCGAGCTGGAGATGAACGCCACCGAGCGCGTGGTGGAGTATTCCAACATCGCCATCGAGAACCAGGGCGGCGAGGACGTGCCAGCCGCCTGGCCGACGGAGGGCAAGCTCGAAGTCGAGAATCTGGTCGTGGGCTACGCGCCCGATCTGCCCCCGGTGTTGAAGGGCCTCAGCTTCCGGGTAGAGAAGAACCAACGCGTCGGGGTCGTTGGTCGCACGGGCGCGGGCAAGTCGTCGCTGACGCTGGCCCTGTTCCGCTTCCTCGAAGCCCGCGAAGGGCGCATCATCATCGACGGAATCGATGTGTCGAAGATCAAGCTGCACGATCTCCGGAGCCGGCTGGCCATCATCCCGCAGGATCCGGTGCTGTTCTCGGGCACGATCCGCTCGAATCTGGACCCGTTTGACGAGTACAGCGACGAGGAGCTTTTCGACGCGTTGGAGCGCGTGCACTTGATTTCGAGAGACGGCAGCGCCGATTCCAGCGGAACAGCCACACCAGCCTCCTCTTCTCCTTCAATCAAAAACGCCAACATCTTCCAGTCGCTTCAATCACCCATCTCCGAAGGCGGCCTGAACCTGTCCCAGGGACAGCGCCAACTCCTCTGCCTAGCGCGCGCCATCGTCTCCCGACCAAAAATCATGGTCCTCGACGAAGCCACATCAGCAGTAGACATGGCCACCGACGCACTAATCCAACGCTCCATCCGAAGCGAATTCGGGCGCAACGCGACAACGCTGCTGGTGATCGCGCACCGGCTCAGCACGATCGTCGATTTCGACCGTATCCTGGTCATGGATGCTGGCCGAGCGGTTGAGTTTGGTACTCCGCGTGAGCTGATGGGTATTGAGGGAGGGGTGTTTCGGTCGTTGGTGGAGGAGAGTGGGGAGAGGAGGGTTTTGGAGGAGATTATTTTTGGTGGGAACAATAATAGGTAGGAGGGTATTGTTAACGAGGAGTAAACGAAAGTTTGTTTTTTTTTCTTTCCAGGGTAAGGGGGAAGAAAAAAAAGGAAAAAGGACACTGAGTGATAGAATGTCCTTCTTGTTCACAAATCTCTTTTTTCCATTTTTTGACTATTTTTATTCTGCTGCCATGTCGAGTATACTGTACAGTACATACATACATAAACAAATACCCAGAAAAACCACCCATTCGCATTCAGATACCCAAATCGAGAAAGAAAGCAATCAATCAATCTTCCCTACATCGTAAACAAAGCAAAGCCAGTCAGTCAGCACCATCTCTCCTCAAAACAAAAAGAGTGCGCATCAACAAGCCAAAAGCAAAAAGAGATCGACTTCGTCAAGTCGACTGCTCAATCAATCAATCAATCAGAAGGAAGGCAACGGAGATATCCACATTGTTTTTGTTTTGTTTGCGCTTTGTTCAGAACAGGTCTGTGAATTTTACATCCGTGGTATTTCATCATTGATTGATTTATATCAGCTCAGCTCAGCTCAGTTCAGCGCAGCACAGCGAAGCGCAACGCTGGGCTGGGCTGGGCTGGGCTGGATGCTGAGTTGTTGTTGGTAGTAAAGGAGTTTGTGTGGAGATTGAGGTGAGGTTGAAAAAAGGAAAATGTTTGGACTTACCAATTTGCATCTGCAGTGTGTTATTTTGTTAGATAGGATCTGGAAAGAAAGTAAGTGGTGCCATCATTATCGTATCAATGACTTTTTTTTTCTGCTCTGCACAGACGAATCCTCAACTTGGAAGGGAAATATCATCCTCTTTTCTTTTTCTTTTTTTTCTTTTTCTTTTTCTTTTTTTTCTTTGAATTTTGCATTCTTCACTCTAAGCAGAAGGACACGGCCACAGGTGTCAGAGACCGCCCCTCCTCCACGACATGTACTACGTACATGTCCAGACACCCCCAAGTTTGTTTGATCAGAGATGCCTTCATCGCGTCCGTCCGAAGTAACAAGGTTGGGATTGTGCCGAACGCCGCTTTCATCCTCCCTCCCCAGCTGGTCCGCGGTCCTTGGGCCTGCCTCCCCGAAGGAAAAAAAAAGCAGGAGAACCTTCGGCCCAGACAGGGGAGAGATAGATCAAATAGAACACGCTAGGCTTTCATCATCTAGAGAATGTCAGCAGGAGATTTCCTTCAGATAATTCAGGTTTGTGGTGATGGAATTGCTGGTCTTACCTGGACAAAACTTGGAAGGATGGAGAGGAAAAGAAAGAGAATGGGCGTGCGGTGAAATTTTTATAGCGGCGAAAGGCCCACCAACTAGCGTGCGGAACAACCCAGTCCCGGAACGATCATTAGATTCATTACGTGCAGCTGTCAAGTCAACCTGTCTGTCAGTTACTGCTTCGCTGGCTCGATTGTTTTCTCAATTGAGCTGGTAATAGTTCTTTTTTTTTATCTTCTTTATTTTGTGTATATACACCTGTGCTCGCCATGCTCGGCGTGGGACGAAGCTCCCTTCGTCTCCGCGCAGCCCGCCGCAGCTACATCGAGATATCAAACTACTTCAGCGCCAGGCAGTCGAGGACTCCTTCACAGGCCTTCTGTCTCTCACAGAGGAAACCGTTTCATGCCTCGTGTCGGCGGTTCAATGATGACTTGCATGCCAGTTCGCCCAATTCCACCAGTTCCACCACTTCTTCCCTCCTAGAGCAGTACAAAAATGCTGGTCTGTTATATGCCTCTCGGCCTCGCTAGAATTTCCTACTGATTGTTACAGTCGAATTCCCTCCTGCGACGCATGATTTCAGATCCTTCCTGCTACATGCCACGCCCGGCCAGACCGTCGTCCTCCATGGCTACCTGGGCAGCCGGGCCGATCTGTCCAAAAAGCTCTCGTTCGTCCGCCTAACCGATCCAACCATGAGACACAACATCCAGATCGTCTCCTCCTCCAAGAACGATGCCCTTGCCAAACTCAAGGCCATTGCTGCCAACAGCCCCGTCGCAGTCCGGGGTACTGTTCAACAAAAGAAGGGAAGCTCCGGCGAGCGAGAGTCGCCCGACACTGAGAAGATCGATAGCTTGGAGATCGATCTGGAGGACATCTGGCCGCTCAATGAGTTCCCCAAGGACATCATCATGACCCCGGAGACCGTCTTCCCTGCCGAACAGCGGCATCTCCAGCTACGGTCCGACCGCGACCTGCGGGAAGCCCTCCGGTTCCGCGCCCAGGTCCGGAATATCTGCAGAGAAGAGCTGGAGCAGTGCCAGCCGCCGTTTGTCGAGATCGAGACGCCTCTCCTGTTCAAATCTACGCCCGAGGGCGCTCGCGAGTTCCTCGTGCCAACGCGACGCAAGGGCCTTGCCTACGCTCTGCCTCAAAGCCCGCAGCAATACAAGCAGATCCTGATGGCCAGCGGGATCCCCAGATACTACCAATTCGCGCGCTGCTTCAGAGACGAGGATCTCAGGGCAGACAGACAGCCCGAGTTCACTCAGGTGAGGCTTGATTCATTCTCGAGATACTTCCATTACTAACACATGCCAGCTTGATCTGGAGATGTCGTTCGCGACAGGAGCCGACGTGATGAGGACAATAGAAGGGGTGATTCGAAGACTCTGGTCGACTTTGCTGAACGTGTCCCTCCCGCCAGAACCCTTCAAAACGATGTCCTACCAGGAGGCCATGAGCCGATACGGGTCGGACAAGCCGGACACCCGAATCGGAATGGAGATCACCCGACTCGACTACCTGCTACCGGTGGATCTGGTCCGGAAGATCACTGATCTGGTGGACCCGATTGTGGAAGCCTTCAAATTTGAAGGCAACGACAACGACCCCGCAGCGACGCTGAAGTTCATCACCGACTTCCTCGACTCCCCTGCGGGTGCGGACTTCAACAACAATCCGGACGGAGTTCCTGGGGTTTTTGTCTACGATGCTGGAAAGCCCCTTTGCGGGCTGCAGGCGTTCGGGTTTGAAGCGGCAGAACGAGTCGAGGAGGTTCTGCAACCCGAGCACGGTGATCTCATCATATTGCAGGCGCGGAAAAAGGAGCCTTTCTCAGGAGGCTCGACGCCGCTGGGCGATCTCCGGCGTGCACTGCATTCAGCGGTCGTCGCGACTGGATTCAAACCCGCTCCGACGGGGTTTGACTTCCTCTGGATCGTCGACTTTCCGCTGTTCTCGCCGTCGAGCGACTTGGAGCCTGGCCAGGGCGGCGCGGCGGGCATTGCCTCGACGCATCATCCGTTCACGGCGCCCAAGACGGCGGCCGACGTGGACCTGCTGCTGACGGACCCGACGCAGGCGGTGGCCGACCACTACGACCTGGTGGTCAACGGCGTCGAGCTGGGCGGCGGCAGCCGGCGGATCCACGACGCGCGGGTGCAGGAGCTGGTCTTCCGCGACATCCTGAAGATGCCGCCGGAACGCCTGGCGGATTTCTCGCACCTGCTGGACGCGCTGCGGGCGGGGTGTCCGCCGCACGCGGGTATCGCGCTGGGCTTCGACCGGCTGGTTGCGGTGATGCTGGGGAGGGAGTCGGTGCGGGACGTGATGGCGTTCCCGAAGACGGGGAAGGGCGAGGATGCGATGGTGCAGGCGCCCAGCGCGATGACGGAGGAGTCGCTGCAGACGTATCATCTGCGGTTGAGGGAGTGATCTAGACGACGATGACTTGTATTAATATTATTTATATCGTCTGATGTGATGTGATGTGACATGATACCCGGCACTCTTCTCATGCTGTAAAGGTAGTACTGTACTATACAACTAGATGTTACTGACATGGTAAGGAATAGAAAACTGCGTTTATTTATCACCTATCTAACCTGTAGGGGTTTGTTTCCGTCTGTCAAAAGTCTCATAATAAATAGCCTGCGCTCCGCAAAAAATCCCATCATCATTATCAACTTCTCGATAACACCATGCTCCGATCCTATAATAAACCGCGTATTTATATAAAATAAATACAAGATACATCTTCCAAATAAAGCAATTCATGCATAAATACCTAATGAGCAATAATAAAATATAAAATATCTAAACGATAAAGTTTGCTGATATGTGGTATGAGTTGAGCGGGAATAATAAATAATAAATATTCGATGAATATCTAATTATCTATCTTCGTATTTATGCCGTCGAATCTGAAGAATAGTTATTAAAATTATATCTATCTAGAGTTTATTGATCAAGATCTATTTTTCTGCTGGAAAATTACCATATATACCTCATTACACGCATTCCCAAATAGCACCTAAGTAGCACCTAGGTCCTCGGATGTCAGTTTTTATTATCATTTCCCATTGGGAGCACTAGCAAAAGTAGTAGGCCGCGTGTCGCAATGGTAGCGAGTCAGATTTCGGCTCTGAAGGTTGCGCGTTCGAGTCGCGTCGCGGTCGATTAAATTATTTATATATTTTCTCTGCCCCTTCTTGGAATGTTTTTTTTTGTTTCTGGTCTTATTTATTGATAAATCTCTTTACTGACATATTATCTACCGTTCATGGAATAAATATCCGCTTTTAATATAATAATATCAACTTTACTACTAATAATAAGAAGGACTTGAAATAGTGTGTACTGTACAGTACCTAGATTCCAGTATTACGGGTGTTGGTAGATAAGAAAAGATAGTTACATCATCCTGTCACCAACCTTGTTTACAATTTCCCTAGGTACCTAATGTTGAAGAGCCTTGGAAACCTTACTTTATTTTGGTGTTCCCACTTCCTCGGTATTTTAATTTGCATGCCAAAGTTTCCACGATCGAAGTCAACACCAAGTTATACATATGCAAACCAAGATGGATAAAGACAGTGCCTTGTACACACGTTTCTGGTGGCTCTCTTCTTCAGCCTTTGCAAGATCCGAATCCATTATGAATATCATAATAATATAATCTCTGTGATATTACGTGAAGATCGATCTTCTCATGTATCTGATATCAATCAATTTTATGGCACCGAGTTTTCCAGCAGAAAATGAGTCTGGAGACTGAACAGCAAAAAAGCTGCGACGCGAACAGATCAAAGTAAAGTGGCGTGGTGCTTGCAAGACATCAATAGTTTCTGGCTATAACAGTATCCAGATCAGTCTTGGCCTTCCTGTACTCCGTAGTGGTGGTTGGTTATGGCATGATAGCAAAAATTGGCCTCCTTTATGAATATCCCAAGATTAAATGGCTCATGAAGTGTAAAGGACATCGTGGCAAGGAATATACCCCGAATATGATCCTGTTACTTCTCGATAAACTCCGCTCGGACTAGAAACTGGATGACTTCAACTCGACTCGATGCTGGCGGCGGAGATCCATCCGGACAAGAGCACGATCGTGAACAGTTTGGCGGAGCTCATTACTGAGGGGTTGGATCGACTATTGACAGACTATATATAGAAAATCGACTGGTCTGCATCGATTCTCGAGAAGAAAGCGGCGGCAAAGTTTGTTATCACATACATGCTAGCCAGTCGATTCGTAGTCAGTGCTTAACCAGAGCTATTGTCACAGAAGCTTCTCTTTGATAATAACGGCTGCATTCGGAGTAGAAGCCGGCGCTTGATATAGCATTAACACCAGCTGTTGATTCGGCACCCCGCCCTCCAAACTCGGGATTTGATCTGAAAGGATTTGACGCTGAGAAATCTCGGTTAAAATTCGTGCGGTTCACGGCACCTTCGCGCCCGCTCAGACCATCGCTTATTCCAGCATTGCAGTAAGTAAAATTAGGATTGGGCAGGGGAGAGAGGTGCTAGATGATCCTTTTTTTTTTTAAGTTAGGCGCCCGACTTCAAAAGAGCCCAAACTGAGTGGGATTATTGACATTCGGGAGCGGCAAATGCGTGGATGAACATTTGATAAAAAAGAACAAAACACACAAGTAAGGCAATTCGCGAAATATCTCAAAACCAAATTCCCTGCGCTTCGAAGTGATTCCCCCCATAGATTACTCAGTCGTATGTTTGCGGACAACTGATGGTTTGAAATATTTTTGGTAGCGTTCCAGATCAAAGCTGCCGTCCTCCAGATCCTTGCTAGCAGGGTCGCCGGCCCAGATAAAGGTTCGAGACTCAGGCAGGACCCCTCCGTCGCAGAGATGGACGGTGCAGGGACACCACTTATAGGCCTCCGTCTCATATTCCATGAGACGAAGGAACTGCGAGGGCTCGTCAACTTTCCATACAGCCCCCATTACTTTCGTATCACCGTCCTTCGGGATCAAGGCTGGATAGATACCCCACATTTTGATGGTAAACCCAGTCACCCATCCCTTCTGCAGAACAGGCAGTTCCGGGAGTCCAAGAACAGACTGCAATACTTCTGGGTCCATTAATGAACCGTAGAAGAAGAGATGACAAGGCTTGAATGGGGGCTTCTCTTGAGCTGGGTCGTGATTCGCTCTGTCAGCAGCTAGGAATTTCATTTACATGACCGATCGACGGTCTCCCGGCAGCCTCCCTGCATCGGGAGGCAATGGCGGAGGAGGGGGAAATCTCCTCCTCAACTCTTCGTAGTAAGATGGAGAAGGAGGGGCTGGCGGCGGCAAAGGAATATAGGGCTTTCTTTCAGGGGTGGGTTCTTGCTGACGATTCTCGATTTCATTGGCGACCTCTGGGTTCATGTTCGGCGAAAGAAAATGAATATCTTTGTACCTAAGCAGTGATGGTAGTTTGGTTATGAGATCAACAACTCGAGAGCGTGATCAAGTACTTCATCACGTGGTTTAGAAAGTTGTATGGTTACAAGTCCATGAGTCATCATATTACCCTTTTTCATATAAAGCGACTCTAATTTGTCGGGACAGATGATCACTGTTTACAAACATTGGAACATTGGAATGTCAACCCATGCATCTTGTTTTGTGTCACTGTGAGCCTTGCTAGTTGGTCCATTATTTTTGCGACCAAATGTTTGAAGAGGATGTTCTTTTTTATGTTTTTTTTGTTCCTGTTTGTATATTTGTATTTTTTTTTCAAGTTTTTTTTTTTGGTTTTTGATCATCGCTTTTGTTTAGGGCAATATATATCAGATTATAGCTTGAGGGCCTTAGGTAGCTGTTCTCAGCCGTGAAACAAATGGCCTACCTGAGAGTCTTATATTACATCTCAGATATTCCACCTCCCTAGGTAGATTACATAGATACTCATGTACTGTAGGTAAGTTTGCATCCGCAGTAAATCTGTCAAACAGCAACATCATCACCAATCATCTGGCATTAATCCAACGAATTACTCCGTACAGTAAGTGATAACCAATCAATCTTGAATCCGACGGGCCGGGTGGGCAGATTGATGTTGTTTGTCGTCTGTTCTGATTGGCCAGTTGCGAACTACTATGGCTGGATTATTAATGACTGGACATGTAGTTAGTTACCTAGTTGTAACCTAAGATTCTTGGATATCTACATGTATCCTCTTAAGATAGATTTGTATAAATGTTATGCATGTGCATGTGTATATATTGATACTCCTTATCTCTTGGGTACCTTGTTGCGATGAATCTGTTATAGTAGAACATCTTTATTTTGCTGCTGTATCGTCATTTTTCTATAACGAGTCCTGTCCGATTCTTGAACTACTTACCTGAGGAGTTTGTCTTATTTCTTTTAATATAACGACACTGCAAACCATGCTGGAGAATTCAGATACAAAAAGCACCTCGCAGAGTGATACAGACATGTCAGCCAAACTCTCCACAGCAGTCCGCTATCTCCTTGAAGAGAGACACAGCGAACGCTTCTCAGCCGGCTGCTCCCACTGCCTGGACACGGCCTGGATCGACGAGATGGACACCTGGGGCCAGCTCGAAGCGCTCAGAAAGCTGCTGTGCCAGCGCCCGCCTGTCCCGCAGCTCCCCCCGGCCGTGCTGGAAGATATCGACGCCGTCATCCAGCACCAGAACAGCCATTCCCTTCTGACTTCGTCGCGGGCTATCCCTCCCTATGCGACTGTCTCCAGAGGTAGGTCGTCTGCCAAACCAATCAATCTCCTGCTCTGGAAAGGCGACATCACCACCCTGACCGACGTCACTGCCATTGTCAACGCCGCCAACTCCCAGCTGCTGGGCTGCTTTCGCCCCGAGCACCGCTGCATCGACAATGTCATCCATTCCGCGGCGGGTCCGCGGCTGCGCAACGAGTGCTACTCCCTCATGCGTGCGCAGGGGCATCCAGAGCCCGTCGGCTCCGTCAAGGTCACCCCGGGATTCAATCTGCCCGCTCAGTGGGTTCTGCACACTGTAGGCCCGCAGGTAGATGCTGGGAAACTACCCGATGCCGCGCAGCAGCACGAGCTAGCAGCATGCTATGTCTCCTGTCTCGAGGCTGCCGAGAAGCTGCCTCCTCTACCTGATGGGCGAAAGGCTGTCGCCTTCTGCTGCATTTCCGCCGGCCTGTTTGCGTTCCCAGCGGCGCTAGCGGCTGATATTGCGGTGGAAACAGTGCTGCAGTGGTGCAGAACACACCCGGAGACGACGTTGACGGACATCATCTTTGACGTTTTCCTCGAGAGCGACCGCGAACTGTACGAGGAGAAGTTGACGGGGATAGCGACCGCTGACGAGAATATCGATATCAGTCTGTGCCAGAAAACACCAGAACCACCACTCACCGTTGAGATCGCCCATCCAGCCATCGTGAAAGCGCGCAAATGGATCCAGGAAGCAGACTACCTGATCATCAGCGCTGGCGCTGGGCTCTCTGCCGCAGTCGGCCTCGACTACACCTCTGCAGATCTGTTCCGCAAACACTTCCCAGCCTTCCTATCGCTGGGTCTCCGCCGGCTATACGACGCCTTCGGGTTCGATGCCTGGGAGTCGCCGCAGCAGGAATGGGGCTACCACTTCACGCGGCTCGACCTGGTGCGGTCCTGGCCTCCATCGACCCTGTACGGCCGCCTGCTGCGTCTCGCGAAGGAGCGATTCGGCGAGCAGCGGTATTTCGTCCGCACGTCCAACGCCGACGGGCAGTTCGTCGTCAACGGGTTCGACGCCGAGCGCGTCGCCACGCCGCAGGGCCAGTACCGCTACCTGCAATGTCTGGCGAAATGTCGTCGCGACGCCGTCTTCCCTTCCGATCCGTACGTCGATGCCGCGCTGCCGGCGATCGACCCCCAGACGCAGGTCCTGCGCGACGTGACCAAGATCCCGCACTGCCCGTACTGCGGCGACGAGCTGACGGTGTGCGTCCGCGGAGGCGACTATTTCAACCCCGCGCCATTCGCAGCGCAGGAGAAGAAGTACGCTGCGTTTTTGCGACAGGTCACGCAGGACGCGAGGAAGAAAACGGTGATTCTGGAGCTGGGCGTCGGGCTGAATACCCCTGGTGTGCTGCGATGGCCGAATGAAGACCTGGTCGAACACAACAACAACAATCCAGAAGAAGGAGAAGGCCGTTTCAGGTTGATCCGCGCGGGGATTGGCGCTGCAGGGAGCGCGCCGTGGGAGTTGGAGGAGAGGGATCTGGCTGTGGGGATTGCGGGGGATTTGAACGGGGTTGTTGCTGCTCTTGTCGAGTAGAGAGCGTCCATTACGTCCATGTATCTGATGTGATTATGTGTATATATGTGTATATAGATCGATAGATGTGATATATTGGGCCTGTGGGAACAAATACCGTTCGTATCTATCGAACTTGCGTCAAGTGCATTGTCAGATTTCATCGATTTATTGAGAAGACGAGTTCTGCAAAGAAGGAAGGGGAAAAGGCGAGAGAATATGGTGATTCGCATTTTGGACGTCATATTCCAACTCTCTATAAACATGCCGGTCTCGTGTCCAGTGGCTACCTAACTATGCTTCATTATATATACTCGTACTGATAATTCATACAACATTAGTCTGCTCAGCACAGCGAAGCCAGACCAAACCCAAGTCAAGTCGCGCGACCCCTCATACACTCACTCGCCCGCTGACCCCGACTGCGCGAGCTACGGCGGCTTGCTCGGGTAGGGAGGTATATATATTCTCTCTCTCGAAAGGATGGAATGGATGGATTCAATTAATTTACATCAGCCGATCTTGGCGTTGGAGAAGTCCATTTCTGTTCAAACAGAAAAAATAGTTAACAAGATCGTGATCATTCACTCAAACTCTTCGAGACAACTCACCAGGATGCTGCTCCTGGAACTTCTTCAGAATATCCATCTTCCGCTGCTCGTCGCTCGTCGGCTTGCCCATCTCCTTCTGCCGCTGGTCGTACATCATCTTCTCGACCATGGCGCGCGTCTCGCCGTCCAGGTCGCTGAGCGACGACGTCTCGGGCACGATCTTGGTCACGTCGATCTTGGGCGCCGTCGTCACGATGTGCGGCCACCACTCCATCTTGTTGACCTTGTCCAGGTGGATTGAGACTTCCTTGCCTGTGGGGGTGGTCTCGAGCGTCCAGGTGGATTCGTCGGGGTGGATGGGGTGGGGGAATTCTCCCTGACAAGACAAAACAAATCAGTGCGCTGTTACGTATAGATGGATAGATATCAGGTTTCAGGATGGCTTACATCAATAATCGGCTCCTGCCCCTTCACCCCAACCTTGATCTTCGTCTTGGTGAGCACGATGTCTAAATCCTTGCCCTTGACCGTCGCCGGCACCGGCACCGTCACGTCCGCGTCGCGGATGGTCTGTGTCCATTTGTAGGGCAGCTTAGCCTGTTCGGCGTCTTCTTTGGCCTTGCGTTCCTTCTCCTCTTGCTCGCGCCTGGCGATCTCCTCGCGGCTAGGGCCCTCGTCGATGTCGGCCATGCTGGCGACGTAGTACCGTTTTGTTTAAAGAAGAACGCCTGGGTGACGCCGCTCTTGTTCTATGGGATTTGAAGGGTAAATCGGTCAAGAAACGCCCTTGGCACGGGCTGGTGGTGCACGGTATGGAAATAGCTGAGCTCCACAAAAAGAGGTTTGTCTGACAGCGACAAGAATCCCGAGCAGTGATTGACGCAGAATTGTATCTTAAGTGGATTGATACGATTCGAGTAGCTTCTTCAAGCTCCTGGTGGGGTTCCGCGGGGACGGGACAATCATGACGCCAGTTTGTGCCTTATTTTTCAGGCTACATTTACCAAGTACTCCATACACTGACCAAACTGCTCCGATTGAATACTTTTACGAGCGCAATTAATTATCGTCATGTCGTATTTTTATTGTTAGGTCCCTCCCCCGGCGTCCTGCCGGCTCGTTCCAAGGGTCCTCAGTAAAACTACCTACTAGAGGTATCCATGCAGCGTCGCGTGATGCCAGCTTCGGAACGTGTCTGCTTGCATCGCCAGTTATAACATTTTTTTTCCCAGTGCCAGAAAAATAGAACATTGCAAATCGCGCGGAAAACAAGGACTCCAACCAATCCCACCTGGTATCGTATTCAATTCCTCTCCATCTTCTCCTTGGCTCATTTTACATGACGACACCGGAGTTGGAGGCAATACGCTGGAGAACGCAAGATCAGCCGTATGTTCTGTCAAATCGGATGGAACCAACTCACCGGCCACAACTCAGCAGCCTCCTTTCCGACGGGACCAGTGATGGCAGAGCCCTTCATTTCACCCTTGGCGTTGACGATCTAATCCAGTTAGCATAATCCTTCCTCTGAACGAACAAACCCGGTATCAATTGCCCGGGACCATGGGCTGCATCGATGAACATCTCCGATTAATCAAGAACTTTGATGGATAGATGTTCTTGACGGATCGGAGAAGGATCCAACAGGCTGACCCCGAAGACACCCAAAAAAAAGTTCCTACATACCACACCAGCATTGTCCTCAAAGTACAGGTAGATACCGTCCGGTCGTCGCCAGGGCTTGCTCTGACGGACAACGACAGCAGGCATGACCTTCTTTCGCAGCTCGGGCTTGCCCTTCTTGACGGTGGCCATGACCATGTCACCCACACCAGCAGCCGGCAGACGGTTCAGGCGCGCACCGAAGCCCTTGACGGAGATGATGTACAGGTTGCGGGCACCGGAGTTGTCGGCGCAGTTCATCACGGCGCCGCTGAACAGGAGTCAGCCCATACGTCCTTTATTTCACCTTTTCACTTCATTTTGACACGAAAATAATTTCCAGCTCTTGAAGTATACCAAACCACCATGTCGACAGCGAAATCTGCTCGCAAGGAATGAAAAAGGGAAAGGCGTTAAACGTACACAGGCAGACCGAGAGTCATCTTGAGCTTGTTGCCCGCGGCGGCACCACGACTAGAGAAGAAAATAACATGTCAGCCTCAGATATCACTCAAACCCGTGATTTCAGACCCAATTTATCCATTCTCCCAGTATTCCTCGCAAAAACGATCCATCAAGCACGTCCCAAGTCAGGCGCAATTTTCGTGCTCTCCTCTGCCCACAATCTGCACCCGACCCGACCTCCGGACACGTAGGGGGAAATGGCGCACTCACCCTCTCTTCGACATTTTGGCAAGCTGTCACGTAGACGGACTGAGGATGCTGGAGGAGAAACGGATGGAGGGAGAATGGTCGAAAGGGACGTATCTGGGCGACGGACGTCGAGACTCTGTTCTCGTAGCGGGCCGGAATTTCCAGCGTGCTCGATCTCGCTTAGTGCGTTAGTGAGAGCGAGTGTGCAAAATCTTGGCGGGCCGCTGCCATTGGCTGCTGGCAACGGGTGGTCGCCGTACATGCCCTAACACTAGTCTGTTTCGGGACAGGCCTCCATCGACTGTACAGAGCAACTCTGCCATTTCACCTGAACGTCGCCAATAATCACCAGCGATTATATCCAAACCAGGGAGTAATAAAGGCAGAGATCCTGGCCTAAATCCTCTCTACATGATGGATAGGCTTAAGTTGCATTTGCAGCATAAATTCCCCTGGTTGAGTATTCTGCCTGTTGCATCGACGGCATCTCTCACATCGCAGTCGTATATAATCATGTGGCGTTTGTTGTATCGTATCTTCAATCAACGCAAAGGCCCAGCGGTGCCGTGGACCTTTCTCCCACTCCTTGCATCCCTGACAGCTGCCAGGCAGGTATGCTTTCTATGTTTCTTTTTGGCAAAGAATGTCGAGAAGCAGTCTGAGGTCGCAATTTTGGCGATTGTGGTAAAATCAGCTGAAAATGGCTCTCTTCCTCTTTGATTGTCTTTCCAGCCTTTGGGAGACAGAGATATTGCTTTTTGGGAAGTTTTGGAGTTGTTTCTGGCTGTATTCGCAACAAATATCTCCACTGATTGTGAGCCCGAAAGCAATTGGCAAATTGAAAGATCGCAAGAGCACATCATCTGAAAGAGTTGGTGGGCAGTCCACAGCTTACTCTGCCCAGGTTGGGAGTGCAGCTAGTCCAAACAAAACCTGTGGGACAGGAGCAGAGGGTCAGTTTATCTACAGCTTCATGCGGCCGGGAACATAGTGTGATAAGTCCAGGAAGTGGAACATCAGTCCTGATGAGATAGTGTCAACGTGGAATGGGGATAATCTTACGATTTGTTGGGAACAGAATAAAGACCTTTGATGATGAAGCATGAGAGTATTTCTGTAATTGGTAGACTGGTAGAGGACTGGTGTTCATCCTGAATAAAGACCTTTGATAGTAAAGCATAAGAGTATTTCTACAATTAGTAGATTAATAAAGGACTAGTATCTGTCCTGAATAAAGGCTCTTGATAGTAAAATATAAGACTATTTCTTAATAATTAGTGGATTAGTAGAGGACTGGTGTCTATCCTGAATAAAGGCCTCTAATAGTAAAACATAAGAGTAGTTCTTAATAATTAGTAGATTAACAAAGGACTAGTATCCTGAATAAAGACCTTTGATAGTGAAGAATGAGAGTATTTCTTAATAATTGGTGGATTGGTGGAGAACTGATGTTTATAAGGGCTGGCATTTGTCCTGGCAATAGCTACTTTTCTTTCCTTCAAGAGCATTACCTCTCACTTCTTCCTATTGGAATTCTTTTTCCTCTCACTACACTCTTTCTCGACGTATCTTTCCCCTGAATTCACACATTTCTCAACCTTTCTTCGCCATGTCTTACGAGTAGTGTGAGAATTGCAAATCATGCGAGCATGGTATAAAAGATTGTCGAGTCCCACGCTGCCATGGGTGTTTTGAATTAGGGCATAAGATCCGCCATTGCCCAGAAAGGCTACAATGTTGGACATGCAAAGAATATGGACACAAACAGGCTGATTGTCCCAAACGTCCTCTGTGTGAGCATTGTCACAAGAGAGGTCACGAGTCACGGGACTGCAGACATCGGCCGCAACCTGAGTGTGTGTCTCAAGGAGACGATGTAAGTTAATTGCAAACATTTGTCTTTGTCTGTGGCAAGAAATGCGCTAATAAATCCAATTCTCTGCAGGTTCATCCGTCAATCATATGCCCGAACCTCACAGATTGCATTGTCTACTTGACAAACGCATTAACAAAAAGTCAAGACCCTCGATTATCTCGCATACCATATGCGGAGATTATTAGCCATTGCGGAGGAACACAGACAGTTACAAGCGCCATTCTTGAGTCAATAGATCCTGCAGTAAGGGCTCTCGAAGGAAAAGAAATCACGACAAGACAGTACGTTACCCTTATTAAAAGTTATGGGATCTTGCTAATAAAACTAGGCTAGACGAAATCTTTTTAACACAGTCTAGAGAGCGCAACTGTTGGCCAAAAAATAGTGGCTATCTGAATTTTGTCAAAGACGATCGCGATGAAAAGTACTGGCGTCCTTACGTTGGCCAGTCTGAGAACCCCTTGTTGCGAATCAAGCAGCATAAGAACATCATCAATTTGGCATGCGATACTTTACACTACTATGTGATCTGGAAAGGCGATGGTCACAGATGGGCTAATTTCATTCGTCTATGGACCTTGATACTTCCTGAAGGCATGGATGAGAGTATCCATATTGTCTTCAACAATAAATATCCTCGAAATGGTGATGGGTCGTGTATTTCAATCGCTTCCCCGGAAAACCCCGGAAACATGGTTTGGCCCTATGAGTGAGACTCCTTATTCAGGAATTGGTCTCAATGTTGTTCCTCCAATCTTCCAGGGTCTCTCTCTCTCGCGCCGGCCACCCGACAACTATTCAAACTGGAGCTAGAGGGATCTCCTGATCCAGAAATTCGGTACTTTGGCACATGTCGAGGACGACGCATTTTCTTGCGAAGTATCTCTCATAGCAATGGCATACGACATTTAGTCGCTACAGCCTGTTACAGCCCGCACGCATACAGCCCCTTTTTATGGCTCCCCTATAGGCACCCCTTTACTGACGTAACTAAACACTAGATGATATCGTGGGAATAATTATAGTAGGTAGGGTTTAGATGGGGTTAAAAAAAACTCCCTAGTATTTGTGGCTGTTATTGATTGATGTAAAAAAGAAGGTCCCGCCGGGGATTGAACCCGGGTTGTCGGAATTTTTATTAATACCTGGGTAGGTAATTGTCAAACGTTGGGGATGTCAGTTTCGTCCGGAACATAGAGGGCAGTGGATTACTCACATCCGAAGTGCTACCACTACACCACAGGACCGGAAGGTTGGTGAATCCCCAAAATTCCAATTCATAAACCCTGAGTCCATAAGAGCTTTCTGGCCAAGCCCAACTCCGCATCCTTGTTCTTGTCATTGGAAGGGTTGGTATTACTCCGTATCACCCACCATGCAGGGCAGCAGCACGGGACCATGTCTTTTCGAGAAGGCTAAACCGACGGTCCCTCGAGAGTATACGAGTACATCCTCTTCCTCGAAAATCCCCAAACTATAAGGCTGATAATATTCGACTACAAACTAGGATATGGTGCATAAGACGGATCTAGACGCCTTTCAGATCGATGCTCAATAGTACATATGATAAACACAAAGACACCAGGATTGGAAGAGAGAAAAAAAAACAAACAGTAAAATGATCATAACGAAACTGCAGCAAACCATCCAAAATCCTGCAAAAAAAAACGAGTAACTAAAAGACAATGCAACAACACCTGCTGACTAGAAAACACCGTTCCTGTCGTGATCCCTTGCGCCAAATAGAGAATAGTGCAGAAAGCATCATGATTCTTCGGACTTCGCTGGCTCTTTCGGCTCAGAGGCTTCTTCTTTCTCTTTTTCTTTCTCGGGCTGTTGTTCTGCTTTCACCTCCGTCTCCGCTGCCGGTGCCGCTGCCTCTGTCTCTTTGGGTTTTTCGACACTAGGTTCGCCCGTCGCTTCCGCGGGCGCCTCCGTAGGCTGGGGCGCCTCGGTCGCAGGCGAGGCGGATCGTTCTGCAGGAGCAGGCTGCTCCGTGGCAGCAGGTTCCTGAGGGGGCGACGCGGGAGGCGTCTTCTCCTGTGCTGCTGCTGCGCCAGCGGCCGCAGGAGGTTGCTCCGGCTCTTGCGGTGCGGCGCCCGCGTCTTCCATGTCGACATCCGAACTGACATAAGTCAACACCGTCATTGGGGATGAGACCGCCTGCCCAGTCCCTTCTGGAGCCGCTTCCTTGCTCTCAGCGGCGGGCTCTTCGTCAGGCTTCGGAGCCGGCTTGGCTTCAGATGACGCGGGCTGCTCTACCGTTGTGGCCGGCGCTTCCGCCTTGTCCGCGTGGCCATCGGCCGTCGTGTCCATGTCTTCATCAGGAGCCGAGGAAGCTTCCCTGGGAGTTGCAATTCCACTTTCCACTCCCGAATCCGCGACATCAAGATGCCGGTAGTTCGCATGGTTTCGTCGCTTGGGAGCAGGTTGACGGCGGACGCCATTGGCGGCGAGCTCTTCTTCATCCTCACTGTCACTCAACTCTCCAGTCTTCTCGATGTACTGGTCAAAACGGCGCTTGGTGTAACGCTTGTCCTTATTCTCGTCCTCGTCCAGGTCGTCCAGGATCGCATCAGCCTCGTCATCCATGCCCTCCACCAATGGCTCGCGAGGAACGTCGGTCATCTGTACAGAGGGCGCGAATGCCGTGCGCTTGAGGTTTTCAATCACCTGACTGCGAATTTTATCAAGATATTCCTTGGTATTGGCGTTGTCCATATTGGATGGACGAACGTCGAGCTCGTAGTCCGGCGAGAAGTACTAACATCGTTAGAAACCAAAACTTAGAAAGACAAAATGGGACGGTGAAGACTTACTTCGTAGTAGTCGTTGTAGGGGAGCTGGGATCCCAGTATCTCGCCTGCCAGGATACCAGTCTCGAAAGCCCAGGTGCGGGCGACGTTGCGCATCGTATAACCTCCGCCACCCACGACCAGAGTAGGCAAGTTAAAGCTCTTCACGAAGTTGACGCAGTTGGCATGACCTCTCATGCTGAGGTTGAAGCATCCCAGGCGGTCGCCAGACAAGCTGTCGCCACCACACTGGAGGACAACGGCCTCAGGCCGGTACCACTCCATGACAGCCTTGATGACCGGCTCGAAGATACTCTTGTAGGAGATATCGTCAATGCCATCGCGGAGAGGAAAGTTGACGGCATAGTATTTTCCTTGGCCAACACCAATGTCGCGCAGTTCGCCAGTGCCGGGGAAGTACTCTCCGTACTTGTGGAAGGAGACAGTCATGACACGGTCCGTGGTGTAGAACGCCTCCTCGACGCCATCGCCATGATGGACATCAATATCGACATAGAGAACACGCTGCTTGAATCGCAGCAGCTCCAGGATACCGAGGACAATATCTGCACGCTGTCAGTCTGGTGGGGTGCGTTAGCGCAGCGGGTGCAAATCCAACTCACCATTCACATAGCAGAAGCCGCTCGCCTCGCTCTTCTTTGCATGGTGCAGACCACCGGCCCAGTTGATGGCGATGTCACATTTGTTGCGGTTGAGGCGCGCAGCACCCTCCATACTGCCTCCGGCACTGATGCCACAGAATTCAAAGAGACCATCGAACACAGGGCAGTCATCTCCGACGTTATACTTGCTCTGTTCTTTAGAGAACTGGTCCATATTATCTGGCGTCACTTTCGATAGGAAGTCGATGTATTCGTCTGTATGGAACTGCGTCATCTCAAATTTGGATGCAGGTTTCGCGCGCTGTCGAATTTGACTGTCAGTTATCATTCCAGACTGACGAGGGCCCAAAACCCCACGCAAAGAGAGGAAGCGTCCTTACATAAATCTCCATCTTCTTGTACAGTCCATAGTTCATTACCAGGCTGTGGGCCATCCTGATGCGGTGCGGCTTCATCGGATGGCCCGAGACGTAGGCATAGTTACCGACATCCGAGTCGTAGAAGTAGGCGATCTTCTTGTTCTGGTTCGGAGTGACAGTCAGGTTGATCGAGTCGAAGGTCGTTGCCCCCGACATGGCTGCGGTTTGTTTGAATCGAAATCGTCAAGAGAGAGCGAGTCTTGAGAGGGAGAGGGGAAGCAGCCCACGACTATAGAAAAGCAAAACCCACGAAGGCGGAGAGACGCGGAGTCAGAGAACCAGAGGACGGCTCATGAAGAGAAGGGGGTTGGAATTTCAATTCGCTGCCGCTCTTGTCGGAGACTGAGGACGAGATCCCTTGTGCCAGAACAGATTGAGGGCGCACAGGGAGGCGATTGAGGGCGGATGGAGGCTGGAGGGGAGAGGAAAGCTTCGAAGATGCCTCCGACGGGGGGAACTGGGAAGAAAGGCGGCAGAGCGCCGGCGGGCCAATGGCCGCGCGCCGCCAGCCGGGCGGAGCTCTGATTGACGCCAAGCAAAGCAAGTCAGCAGCAAACCGGAGGCACCATTACGACACCTCCACCGTCGCCTTCCTGCCTGCCGTCCTGTTTCTCTCTGTTTTCGCTCAGAAGTCGAGTCTGCCGTCGGAGCGATTTCTTCTCGTCTACTCTGAGGTAGCCAGTTCTGGTGGTGCCCTCCAGCTCGTCGCGACTTCTCACGCCCGGAGCTTCCTCACTGGAAGCCCTGCTTGACCTCCGCATCCTCCTTCCTCCCAACCCTTTGGACTTCTACATTTTCTCTCAAGATGGAGCGCTTTAACCGGATGCTCCAGGCTGCCCAGGGCATGGGCATGGGCAGCGCGGCTGCCGGTGCTGTAAGTCGTCCACCCTTGAAGCGTGCACGTGGCACCGAGTTGCTGGACAGGACGACCTGTTGGCGGTCTCTGGTGTGGAGGAGAAGATGCAAAGAGGAAATGAAAAGGTGCAAGTTGAGAGTGTCCGTGTTCTGATGAGAAATGGCGTGCAGGATAGCCCCAACCTGATCGACAACTCCGAAACCGTCCACATCTCGTCGCTAGCCCTGCTGAAGATGTTGAGGCATGGGCGAGCAGGTGTCCCTATGGAGGTCATGGGCCTGATGCTGGGCGACTTTGTTGACGAATACACGGTGCGAGTGGTGGATGTTTTTGCCATGCCGCAGAGCGGTACGGGAGTTAGTGTTGAGGCCGTCGATCCCGTGTTCCAGACCAAGATGATGGAGATGCTGCGACAAACAGGACGGTATGACGTGTAACTGCTACTGTGCTTCTTCGGCTTGCATATTGACTGGCCCTGGTTTTAGACAAGAGACTGTCGTGGGTTGGTACCATTCGCACCCCGGGTTCGGCTGCTGGCTGTCGTCCGTCGATATCAACACCCAGCAATCCTTCGAGCAGCTTACTCCGCGTGCTGTTGCCGTCGTCGTAGATCCCATCCAGTCCGTCAAGGGCAAAGTGGTCATCGATGCGTTCCGCCTGATTGCTCCGCAGACGGTGGTCATGGGCCAAGAGCCTCGACAGACGACGTCCAATCTGGGGCATCTGAACAAGCCGTCGATCCAGGCACTGATCCACGGCCTGAACCGACACTACTACAGCATTGCGATCAACTACCGGAAGACGGGACTGGAGGAGAACATGCTGATGAACCTGCACAAACACGTGTGGACGGAGGCGCTGCAGATGAATGATTTCCGCGAGGACGCAGCGCGCAACGTGGAACGCATGAAGCGGCTCGTCGAGCTGGCGGAGGGCTACGAGAAACGAGTCAAGGAGGAGACGGAGTTGACCAAGGAGCAGCTGAAGACCCGATATGTGGGCAAGGTTGATCCGAAGAAGCGTAAGTCGACCCTCACTAGCTGTTAATGCCTGACACTAGATACTGATGTAATTCCTTCTATACAGACATTCAAGACGTAGGCCAGGAGCTTATCGAGGACAACATCGTCGCCCTGTCGAGACAGATGATCGACAAGGAATCGTGCGTGGCCCGAGTACCAAGCACCACCAAGGGGGCCGAAAACGGCACCCACATGGACGTTGATGAAGAGCTATAGTGTTGGCCTACTTAGTAGCAGGTAGCACCACACCATATAGCATAGACGTATCTGGAATGATCAACGCATAAACGTTTCTTTTTTCTCTCAGTTCAATGAATACCAATCCCTATCGACATGATTAATAAACTATGTTTTACTTGTTCCGTCTGTAATTGTAGTAAGTAGGTAGGTAGGTAGTAAGGTAATAGGCAGGGAAGAGAAAGTTAAAAAATATAATATACAAGCCTTACAAGTCGCTAAACTGATACCTCGTCTACGTATGTTATGGACTTTTTTTTTTGTCTGGCCTTGGGCTGGTTGGTTTCCTCTACTCCAATATATAATGTCAATTCCTAGGTAGTTTTCCTTTTTGTTTTTTAATATATTTTTATTATTTTTATTTCATCTCATTACCGCTAAAATAATAAAAAAAGAGACAAGCTCACATACTCACTCCCCAATTTCTATCTACTGTACAGTTTTTTTTGCAGTTCAATTCAGTTCAGGTCAGTTCAATTTCTTGCATCCACTGCTACCATGGCCCAGTGTGGAGGCAAAACAATTAAAAAAAAGATGGGGACAGAGAAAAAAAAGATCACAACAAGGCCAATTATTCTAAAATTTGCCAAGACCCCCCTAATGCAGTCAGTCAGTCAGTCAGTCAGTGCCAATGACAATGACAATGGCAATGGCAATGACGGCTGGGAAAAAAAAGACATAGTATGAAGACATGATTATGTGAAGAAGAAGAAAGTATTTTCGTCGCAGGTTTCGGGTTCATCCGAGTTTAAATTAAAGCCCGTCAGTTGTCGAAATGAAGAAAGGAGAGGGATGCCATCATCTGGCCTGATTCTTATTTGGAATCGCCACCGCCGATGCCGAAGAAGCTCGTCAGGCTGCCTTTCATGCTCTTCATCTGCTCCTGGCGCGCCTTCTCCTCTTCGGCCGCCATCTCGGCCAGCCACTTCTCGCCGTTCTTGCGGATCTCCTCCTCCATCAGCTGGTAGTTCTTCTGGCCGCGCTCGCGGATCTGGTCCCAGAGCATCTTGCCCTGCTCCAACCCCTCGGCCGCCGATTGTTCGCCGTCCAGTGAACTGCGCGGTTTCAGGCCGAGCAGAGACGCCAGCTTGCCGACGCCCCGGCGAGGTCGTCGCGCCTGCTCCTCCGCCAGCTGCTTCTCGAACTTCTCCCGCATGATCTTCTCGCGTCGCGCGAACTCCTCGGGGATGTAGGTTCCCTCGAAGGACTTGAGGACCGGCCGCACGTCTTCGATGCCCATTCCGGCAACATACTCTAGGAAGGGAATCAAAGCCACCAGCGACTTGTCCTTGGGATCACCCTTCCACTTGGGAAGAATGATGGCGTTCTCCGGTTGTTTCCGGGCGTGAGCTTCCACGGTGTCGATGAGGATGACTTTGGAGAGGTCTCGGTTCAAGTAAGACAGATCCTGAGAAACGTTAGATTAGTCAACGAACGGGGAAAAACACGAAAGTCAAAACGACGTGCAGGCATACCTTAATGTATTCTCCGTTTTCGTACTTGGTTGCTTCCCGGAACAGAGGCCATCTGATAATGCGGTAAGGGTCAAGCTTCCGCAGGACTTGGTCGGCCATCATGCTAGGAACGCTGGTGAAAAGGACGAGCTCGTAGTACTGGTTGAGATAGCGCAGGAAGTAGTCCACACCGGGTCGCTTCGCAACACGCCATCCGTGCTCCCTCGTCCACTCGCTGTGGACGAGCAGGTCCTCCAAACTCAGCACCAAAGTATACGGTTGTCTCATCGAGGGATCCTCATCCGGAAGGAGCTTTTCGAACGCCGGGTCACGGTAGTACTTGGTGATATCATTCAGGCGGGCCTTGATGCGGTTGTAGAAGAGACCCAAGCCCCATCCCGACGGGGCGTCTGGGTGCGCCTTGGCCTCCTCCTCCGAATCCCAGTTGCGACCCAGGTACATAGTTCCGGCGATACCACCCAGCAGGAACAGCACGTACATCACGTTGGCCATGCGCTGTCTCCGGCGGTCCAGAGAGGAGACATAGCCATCCTTGGGTATGTCACCGCCGATATCGCCCGCGTCAAAGTCATCCGCACGGGACGGGTCTTCGGTCAGGTTCAGCGACGTTGATCCACGTTTCTTGGAGCGTGCTGCTTCTAGCTCTGCCGCCAGCGTGGACGGAATGCCCTGGGTGAGATCTGGAAGAGGCTTCTGCGGCTGTCGCGCCTCCGCAGCATCCTGACCTGGCGCGGCGGTTTCGAACTCAGTCTGATGGGGGGAGTACTCCTGCTGCGACGACGGCTGTCCAGGCTTGGTTTCGCTGTCACCGGCCGCAGTATCGGTGGACTGAGGGGGAGTGTTCTTCGTCGACTCGGCGAACTCGGTCTGGTGCGGAGAATAGTCCTGCTGCTGCGGCGTACTCTCTGACGCGGACTCGGACGGCAATTCCGACTGCTCTGGCTTGGAAGACTTGGACGAGCCAGGCAGCTTGTACGGCACCTTGGGCTTACTGTTTTTGGCGTACCATCGCGGACGCTGAGCGGCAGCAATGGACAGGCGTGTGGCGGAGGGAACAGGCCGGGCCCTCACCAGGGGCAGGATGGCACGGCTAAGCATGGTGGGAGGAGAGTGTGCACATTTAAACGGAGAACAGAGAGCTGCAGATCAACACGCAACCATGCCGTGGCAGAGCAGGCGAGGGCCAGCAGAGGCGTCTTGTCGTTGCTGGTGCGGATATCGAAAAAATCGGGATGGAAGCTGCTCTGCTGCGGCGGGCGGCACAGGCCAACCGCGCACGCCGCCCGCCGCTAGAAAAGCCGCCGCTCCGCCATTCCTTCTCTTCTTTTTCTTTCTCCCCAGAAAGTTGATATTGACCAACCCAGACAAATTTGACCCAACACTCCCCTCTCCCATGGATGCCGGGTTGTATTAGCTGGGGAGACTAATGAAGCTCGCTTTCAGTCCCGCCCCCAAGAGCGGCAGCTAGGCCACCTCTGAGCTGCGCAGCCCCGTTAGCGAGGATATATCTCTCTTGCCCTGTCTAGTACTGTGACTACTGTCTCCAGGCTGTATAATTATGGAATATAATTGATTTCTGTTTATTCTGTCGCTGTCTTGCTGAAGTATCCATAGAACAAAGAAGAACCGCGAAGAAAGAACCATGACCAGCACTCTCGAAGACGCCTTGGAGAAGGTCACCCTGGAGGACCGGGACTCTGAGGAGGAAGACGAGGAGGAGGAAGAGGACGACCAGCTCGAGGACATCACGCCCTTCCGATTCTTCGATCTGCCATCGGAGATCCGTCTCAAGATCTACAGCCTGGTGCTCTTTGGGTCGCGACGAAAGGCAGGACCGCGGCCCAACGGCAATGTCGGCGCCTCGTCCAGGAACAAGCCCCTCGCACCGCTCTCCCACCGGCTGTCCCTCTTCCTCACGTCTCGCCGCGTCCACGACGAGGCCTCGCAGCTCTTCTACTCTGCACAGACCTTCCGCGTGTTCCCCATCCAGGACTTCTCGCGGCTGCCCACCCTGGCCAGCCTGGCCCCTAGCTACCGTCCGTTGATCACAACGGTGGAGTTGATCCTCGGGTCCAGCTGGACGGCGCCGCCCAAGTCGTGGCGCGCCACCCGCCGGCTGGGACTGCAGCAGATGGTGCGCGTCAGGACGCTGAAAGTGTTCGTCCAGTGCGATCCATCGCACCCGGTCTTTGAAGGATTCCGCATCTCCAGGGACTTCTACACGGAGTTTGCCGGTAATCTGCTGCACCAGATCCTCCAGCAGCTGCCGGGTCTGGTGCAAGTCGAGTTCGACGCCTGGCCGTCCGTGCAGAAGAACGGGCCTCTGATGAGCCGGCTGCTGTCTGAAGTGCGGGCAGCAGGGAAAAAGATCCTCTGGGGGCCCGAGAGGGGCTGGTCGGATTTTGATGACGACGATGATGGTAATTATGACTGTAATGAGGACCAAAATGTAGCCAGTCACCAGTCACTGGATGACCAGCGCCCTGACACTGTCTTGTTGCCGCCGATGAATGCTTAAGAAGACTATTACGAACTGTGTTACAGCATATTGTATGGTATAAATTTGTATATTAGTCTCTGATTAGAATATAATGCCAGCAATGGCAAGCATCTCGCCGGAACTTCTGCTCATCTATTATTTGTGCAGTATGCTGATCGTATATCAAGTCCTATGCAAAATGATCACCTTCCCGACCTCATTCTCCTGCCAACGCATTAATTATTAAGTAAGGTATATCATTACACATAACCCCCGAAACCTCATGATCCACCAACGTCTTCCCAGCCTTCTTATCCTCCATCAGCTCCCTCAGCGCAGCGACCAGCTTCTCCACCGCCGCGGGCGAGTTCTGATGATGGAAGACGAGCCGGCCACTGGGGAACAGCGTCACGCCGTGTCTTTTGCCGTACTCGACAAACGCTGCGGCGGGGATGCCGTCCTTGGCCAGGTCGAGCACGATCATGTTCGTCTGCACCGGCAGGGCGATCGTGTAGCCCAGCGCGCGGATGGAGGCTGCGGTTTGCCGCGTCAGGGCGTGGACTTGGGGGAGACGAGGGATGGTGTGTTCGAGCGCGGCCAGGGCGGCGGCGGCCATCATTCCGGGCTGGATGATGAATGTTAGTATTCTTCTTTTCTTCAACTGCTTGCGAGAGGATGGTAAGAGCAACTCACCTGCCTCGTCCCCCCACCAAACATCTTCCGGAAATACTTGGCCCGCTGGATAAACTTCTTCGAGCCGACGATGACGCTGCCCATGGGCGCGCCCAGCCCTTTCGCCAGACAGATGCTGATGCTGTCGAAGCAGGCGCAGTACTCCTTCAGATCGACGCCCTCGGCGACGACGGCGTCAAAGAGGCGCGCACCGTCCAGATGCATGGCGATGGGCCGCTCGCCCTCGGGCACGGGGAAGCTGCGCACGAAATCGGAGATCTCGCGGGCGTCTTTGAGCGGGAGGATGGTGCCGCTGAGGGTGTTTTCGAGCGAGACGACGCGGGTAGGGGGGAAGTAGACTGCCTCATTATCAGCATTATCATGTACATAGATTATGTATGGATGTACGTACTGCTCCCCTCAGGAATGATATGCCTCTTCACATCGTCAACCGTCAAATGCACCCCGTTGCTGGGATGCACCTGCGTGACCGACGCCTGCGACATGACGGGCAGCGCGCCCGTCTCCCAGCAGTGGACATGGGCGCGGTAGTCGAGCAGCACCGTATGCGGCGGCTGCACCAGGTGCGTGCGCAGGCAGATCTGGTTGCCCATCGTGCCCGACAGCACCCACAGCGCGGCCTCCTTGCCCGTCATCTCGGCCAGGCGGTCCTGGAGGCGGTTGACGCATTCGTCGCCGGACTCGTCGTAGAGGTCGTCCTGGAAGGATGCGTCGATGATGGCCTGGTCACGTCAGTAAGACAGTGTCTTAGAAAGAAGGAGATCAATTGCGAATTGGAAATCCCCCCTTCAAACCATGTAAGAGAGACATTCATCAGGATCCTATGTACGTACCTGCATCATATCCTCCGTCGGAACAGTCACCGTATCCGATCGAAAATCATGTTCCACGCGCCTCTGCGCATCGCGCAGGTTCTTCGTCGTTGTATATCTGAATGTTGATGGTGGTGTTTCGTCTTCTTGGGAGGTTGTCGTTGTTGCTGCTGTGCTCTCTCCATTATTGCTATTATTATTAAGGTTATCAAGATTAAGATTATGGGTATCCTCCGCACCAGGCTCACCGCCGGCATGACCGTTCGAAGACGTAGATGCAAGGGGAACCGTCTTCGTGGCGGTGCTCTTCACGGCTGGTGGCGATGGTGAGGGTGGGAGGTCCGTAATACCAGGAGCCATGGTGATAGAATGGATGAATGAAATGAATTGGATGAATAGAAGATAAGAAATAATAAGGGTGAATTGAATGAATAGAATCCAATCCACGGAAAGGAAGAAAGGTTCCGTCTCCGCGTACAGAAGAAGATGTGTCAAATTGTCGACTCTGTTATCGGAGACTTTTCCAGTAGGAGGATCTATCTTATCATCCCGTCTTGTCGAATATGACGCCTCCGTCGAAGCACCAATGGAATAATAATACTGGCCTAGGCTAGGGATTATTCCAGCTTACTAAGGATGAAGAAAGACATCAACATCAGCAGTGGAGAAAATGAGGAATCTGGCCAGGGAACCGAACGGTCATAGTTCCAGAAACGTTATAATTGAGGGGAACCAAAAATAAAAAACAGATAATACCAAAAAGAAAAATCTCTCAAACAGATCGAGAGAAAAGAAACGGAAAAAAAAGATAAGACTTCCTGTCTGAGTCATCATCATCATCCAATGTGTAGTGGTCTGGTCTGGCTTGTTGCTCCCTTTTTTTCCTTCTGCCGACTTTGCTCTTCATCCACCATGTGAATTTCCATTATTACACCGCATTTGGCCCCCGTTCGCCACATGATTCAATCGCCAGAAATTTTTCCTGCTGGTGATTATTCTTTCCTGGTCGAGTGGATCATCGAGCAGCCGTTCGGGAATTGAGCGGTGGGTCGGGCAACGCGTGGAACAGCCGATGCAAGCCGAGACCAGCCACACGGGCATCCAAGATTGTTCCCCAGGGGTCCGGCCAGGCCATGCAAGTATTCCGTCGCTCTGCAGCGCGTGCTCGAGCCTCGATCCTGAGTTTCCCTCGGAATACTCCGTACTATCGCTATCAAAGTAACCTAGCACCGCTGCGCTCCCCGTGTAACCAGCCCTCTGCCCGGGAAAGTAGTGCAAGAAATGCGGAGATCTTACCCGCATGCAGGGTAACAGCTGCCTTTTTGGATACTCATGGCGGCGTGTATGTTTGTGTTAGGACATTGTTGAGCCCTCAGTGCGCACTCTCACGTAAAGTTGACGTCTTGAAATCCCGAGACGTCCCAGATCCCCGTCATGTCAAACGGGAAGCCGTCCATGGTGCCAAACGTTCCTGATATAGACATCATGTCGTCGACAATGTCATTGTGAGTGTGTGTCTCCGGCAACCCCATGGTCGCAGGGGTCATTGTGAGATTATTATTATTGTTATTGTTATTCTCATCCACGGCCCCTGCATTGTTATTAGTGTTCTTGTCTTGGTTACCGCCACTTGCGCCGCCGATGTTACTGCTGATAATCTCTGGATGTCTGCTCAGGATGCGTTCGCAGTGGTCGAGGCACATGTCGGCCACGTCCCAGTCCTCTTCTTCTCTGACTCGTCGCAGGATCGAGCGGAGTGTATCCACGTTCGCCAGACATGACCGGGCTACTTCTGGATCCGTCGTCTCCAAAGCGCACCGGACAAGCAGGGTCGCCGTCGACGTGAGGTGAAAGGCGCTGTCTAAGACAATGTAAGATTTCCAAGCCATTCCTCAAAGGACAGTTCCGTCGCACGTACATGGCAACCAGAACTCCCGGAAATGGACATTCTGCAATGATGCCATAAATTGGACAATTTCTTCCGCCGCTTTTCGGCATTCCGTTTGAAAATACCGGCGGGCTTCGGGATTGTCGGTGTCTGAATTGTTTACTTCCTGTTCATAATTAGCCACATACGCAAGTAGAGCGAGGACGGTCGCGAGGATCTCACATGTAATTCCACACGGCAGACTAGCATCTTAACGGCAAGGAACGCTAGATGTAAGCTGCTGGTGCCGCAGATAGAAGCCTCGGAAGACTGCGAGGGCGCCCTCAGGAACTCCGGTAGTGAATCCTCCCACGTATCGAGGTCCGTTCGGATATGCCTCAGCTTCTTGGACGTTTCCCTGGCAGATCTCGGCTGAAGCTGATAGACCAGCGGTAGCAACTCCCCCAAGATCTCCGTTAACCGGCAGAGCGCAATATGACAGTGTGCGGCGCGGATATGCTGGGACGTGGCCCGGGGCTGGGTCACCAGCACTTCCACACTCGGCAAGGGAACATCGTACTGGTTTTTAGCAATTTGAGGCGGAACGCCATGCCCAAAACTACCCCTGAAGACAGTGTCAGCACAGTGGAAATATTGAAGGTGACGTTACCGCAGAACATACCAGCGATCATGGATCACGACCCCCCACCACAGACGGATCCGCTGCTTCTTCTCTTGGAGTGAGATTTTCCAGTTGCTCGGATCTCGATTCAAGCCAAGACAGTGAGAAAGAGACACCAACCGGCCGCAACTGATGGCATTTCCCGTCATGGAAAAGATCGGTCGTCCAGTGAGATCAACTAAGGCCGCACTCAGGGACGACAGTCCCGGAGCAGAGAACTCTTCGTGGAGAGCAGCCACGGTCAAGTTGATCGCATATCGAACGTCAGGTTTGGGATGGCGGGCCAGCTTGGGTGTATGCTTCCAGTAGACCAAGGACATTGCATAAACTTGACATAGTAACGTAGTGGGCGGATCGTCCGGGGCCCCCGAGATGTAGGCTTCCCAAAAGGCTTGACCGTCAAAGATGGGGAACGCGACATTGAATCGGTCCAGAAACCTTATAGAGAGATTAGAGACGTCACTGCAAGGGAGAAGGCGAGAGGACCTCCACATACAATCTAACGAGATCATGTCGGAAGGGGCCCAGAATCTGCTCCAGAATTTCTTTCTGGGTCTCCCCCGGCGGATTTCCCACACGGACACCCTGCCTGCGTCTGGACACCGTCGTGTAGAGCACCGGTTTTCGCGGGTCATTCGAGTAGACTTTGTACGGTTTCTTCCCTGTCTCGACTGATTTGCTGGACCTCTCCGAAGGCATGTACTTCTCGATCACCTGCGCATCCTCTGCCGCCACGGGCCCAACAATGAGCACAGATTCATTCTGAGGATCCTGCTCGTCCTTGCGGCGTCTCTTGTCATCGTCCCGGCTGTCTCTGGTTCGATGCAACGAGGGCGAGCTGTGTCCCTTGTCCGATAATGAGTCTCCCGGATCTTCAACAGACCCCGCAGCCAACTCCGACTCCCGTCTGCGCTTATGGCCCGCGAGAGACTGCGACCCGGGCGACGGTTTCGTGTCTGCATTGACCGAAGAGGACTCGGGCGGTGGATCCTCCTGGTAATGGCAATCGGCACCCTGGACGCGGCAAAGCAGACAGGACTGGCCCGGGATGTCGACGGTGCATCGCGACTTGCGCTTCCTGCAGAGGTCGCAGGCCCTCACCTTGTGAGAGCGGTATGGCCGGGAGCCAGCATTGATCACACCCGTCTGAGGTCGTGAGGCAGGCATGGGCGGGGGCATGCTGCACTATACCGAGGACATTTTAATGTGAAGCTCACGAGATCGTGCACAGTATGGTCGAATCGAATTGGCCACGCGTGTTGAGTGCTCCGCTCTGCAGACGAGACGAGACACGACTAATTGATCCAGCCAGCCTCCATAATGCTCTGGACGATCTCTTGTGGTCGCCAGTCGAGTTCTAACTTCTCGCATGCTGCATCAAGTCTCGACCGAGCCAGAAAGATATCGGCCACACGTTGATCCGGCGAGATTGCGGGGAACGCTGAGTCAGCGCTTAGTCAGCAGCGGCTGCACGTGTGCGGGAGCCAAGACGCCTGTCATAGGGCGATCGCCTGCACGTTGCTTGTTCTATTTTGGGAAACCGATACAACGCTGGGGGCCATCTCCAGCCCCCAGGCAAACGCTGCACAGCTCTCCGTTCACGGTCAGCTTGACCTACTGCCCACCCGTTTCACTCCCTGCCCTCGTATCTACCAGATACTATTACCCTGCCTGGCTGTCGCTGCTTACTCCGAGGGCAGATCAGCATTAGATCTGCTGGACTGAACGATAGATAGATACCCCGCATCCGAAGCCCCGTCCTAGCACCGCGCTACGCGAGATGAACCCCGGTTTCATGTGTGCGAAATAGACGTGTCGGCGTCGCAGACACTTCCACGGCAGCTCTTGCGGGGAGCCTCAACCTCCCCACGCTGTCGCGAATCGCGCTCCTCCGCGTGTGGGCCAACTGGCGGAGCAGACGACCTCTCGGTGTCACCATGTATGGCTCTGGGAGACGTTCTGGCTGCGTGTGTCGGAATCGAAAAGTATCGGGCCTGTAGCGGGCGCAAATAGCTGCAGCCAGCCAGGATGGATCACGATGTCCGCCATTCTATAGCACAGGAAGGGGACGACGGGGCGGCTGCTAGGGCTGATGCCTCGCCAGGAGAGGCACAGCGAGCGGTTTCTTCCTTCTACTGTCTGCCTGCCAAAGTCATCGAGCAGTGAGTGACCTCTGTGAAACCAGTGGAGTTGCCGTGCACTTAGATTCTGCGTGGCCGCCCTTGGTATTGGGTTCATTAGGGCTCTCTCCAACTGCTTACTTGCACTTGATAGGATTCTATATACCGTGGATGCGAATACATTCGCGTCTCTAGCCCTTTTGAACCGCCAATGGAGGCGGATATCGGACACCCCAGAGCTCTACGCCCATCATATATCCCGATGTCCTCTCTTCTCAGTGACGCGAGACGTCATCGCTGATCCCTTGCGGCCACAAGACTTGCCCTTATTGAAGAGGACATTCGCTCGAGAAATCCGACGAAATGCCTTTGAAGTGTTCCTTCGACCCACAAAAACCCTAGTCAGTCTGATTTCGACGTCGACCGGCTCCTCCACTGCACTTCCCCAGGGCGAGGCTCTGAAGTTTTCCTTCTCCCCCAATGGACAGATCCTGCTCTGCCTCAGCTCGTCGAGAATCTTCGTGCTCGATGTCGCATCACCTCGGATTACGGTGATGCATGAATTGAAGACTCTGAGAATGCCTCTGGCGGCGACGATTCTCGACGATGGCAAGCTCCTTGCCGTGGTCTCGTCTAGGCACCAGGTGAATATCTACCATCTTTCTAAGGAAGAGGCACAACATGTCCAGAGCTTCACTCTGAACGACGTCCCTCGAGCCCTTACCCTGTCCCCAACCGGAAGTGTTCTCGCCGTCGCGTACGATGGAAGTATCGAAGTATACGCCTTGGGAGAGAACGACCTCGCAACGCAGCGAAGAGCGGTGCGTTGTATCGGAGTCGACACCCTCTCATTCACCTCCGACGGGACCATGCTGATCGGATCATCTGTGGACCCCTCCAGGGCGGAGGTCGTCACGATTACGGCCTCCTTTCCCACAGATTCCGCGGTGGATGTTGGCTCAAGTAATGCACAGGGTCAGATTTGGACAACTCAGATACTCTTCCCCGAAACGATTTCGGGCTACAGTCATGTGTCTCTGTTTCCTGGTCATGTCGGAGGCGAGGACAATTGGATTGTAGGATTTGACCACGAGATCGGGGCATTCCGTGCGGTTCGAGCAAACGATGCGAAAACGGGGGCTACGTTCTTCATTGGACCGACATCCAATGATGGGTTACAGGAACCACAACCGGCTCTTAGTCCAGCAGTGGACCCCAACGGTGAACTTGTTGCTTTAGCATTCCAAGGTTGTGGGGTTTGGTTGTACGGGCTGCCTGATCACGTCGGTCTTACTCCATTGGAAGCGAATGGGACCCTCGGCGTGAACGGCACGCGGATCTTCACGCAGTCGTCCCCTGATTCCCCTTCAGATGATGCTCTGATAGCGGATGGGACCAACTTTCGCCGACTGCAGAGGGAGATTACTCAGCCAAGCCTGCTGATTCGCGGTTATAAAGTGGCCGACATTCCCGGGCTGACGGCAGCTCGTTGGGTTGGGCAACGCTCCTCTGCTGAGAGCACTGGTCCAGGCTGTCACAGGCTAGTCGCCGTGGCTCCGGGCGGTGTCATCTCCTCGTCCTTGGGGGATGAGGCCATTCCGGCCGATGGTGGAAGGATCTTTATCTTTGACTTTGAGCCTTCGCCAAGGGACGGCGGGTCAGTGGAGGTAACTCTGGAGTTGGGAGAGGCCGAACCCAAAATTCTAAAAGAGCAGAATGCGAACCTTGAACAAGAAGTGGAGCTGGAGAGGAGGAGAACGCAGCTACGTCGCGGTGTCGTCGGCTCGCCGCGCTCTAACGTTGGGGATAGACCAGGGAGCCTTTCTCGTCAATCCTTCCCGATCGCTAGGAGCAGCTCGCAGAAATTTGCACACAGCAGCCAACGGGGGAGTCGTTCCCAGGCGAGCTCGCCAATCGGGGAGGAGTTTGGAGACCTCACACTGTTTCTCGATGGTCCTTACAGCAACACCGCGCCACGGTCTCGAGATACGCTACATCGCGCGGCTACAGCTGCGGCAGCTAGTCGTAGGAACCAGGCTCGATATCGCGCCCAGGAGAATTCCGATCCAGTCGAACCGCAGATTCCCCATGAAAGCGATGCAGACAACTGGGTTCCTCCGCCTCCTCCGTATACGCGAGACCCGGAAGAGCCTCTTCCTGAGCACATCAGGCGACTTCTTCTTCCGACCATGATGGAACCGGCTGGAACGGTCATGGACGCGCCTGTCGAAATCCGGAGGGCCCATACGACAGTTGATGACACGATGGGCGAAGAGAGTGGGCGACCCCGGACTCGTCTTGAACGAATCGGCTCCATCAGTGGATCTAGGCTTCTCAGACGGAGGCGGAGTGCTCGAGGGACATCGAATGCTGGAGATGTTCCGGCCAGCAGACGCATGAGCCTGCGGCTCAGTAGGCGGGAGTCAATCTTTGGTACAACCACGTCACAGCCCACTCTACAAGCTCCAGGAACAGAACAAATTCCCCCGGTTCCTCCAGTGCCTCCAGTTCCTTCAGCTGCCCCAATTCCTTCCGTCGCGCCCGTTCCGCCTGTTCCTCCAGTCCCCCCAGTCCCACAAGTTCCTATTCCTGGTCTTTCTCCGCTACCGCCAACTACTGCCGGTACTTTTACTACTCAATCAACCGGTCCTCAGAGGAGGAAATCGCAATTCCGCTCTTCACGTTTGACTGCGGGCCTTCTGCATCGGGCAGGGAGCCGAACTGGGAGGCGGGATCAGGCGCAAGAGTCGGGAAATATTCCCGGGATTGATAGAAGCCATTCAAGAGCGAGTCATACGTTTGCCCAATCGTCACCTCACCTCCCCCTGGGAGAATCGACTGTGCACCGGATGAACACAATCCTCAGTTCCGACTATCGAGGCGGCCAGGGTGATGTCCACCGGTCCCGTTCTCGGTCAGAGGACATCCAATCGCCCCTGCGACTGACTCAGGAGAATATCCAGAGTCTGCAGCAGACAGAGGCAGGTCAGAACCTGTTTGCACGACCCAACCCAGACGAGCACCGTAATTGGCAGGCCGCAGAGATGGAAGCGTGGCGGGCGCGCATCGAGCAGTGGAATCTCCAAACGATCAACGAGAGACGCAAGAGCCGCAGCAAATGCACGGTTATGTAGTCACCACAATTTCCTTTCATTTGATTTCATTTTCATTTTCTTTTCATTTCCTCATCTCCACTATCTGCTGTCTTTAGCTACGATCCACTTCATTTCCTCCATGTGTTGCTTGTATATATACCCATGTCATGTCGTCCAGTGTCGAAGACTAACTAGATGCGCTGTATAGTAAGATACCATGTCACGCATTTTATTATTTAATAATGAGCTCCCTCGTTTCATTCTACGCACACCCACAGACTGTCTCTATCTTTTGTGTTTTCTCTCGGCTTTTCACTTGCTTGCTTGCTTGTCATGTTATGTCGTGTCGTGTCTGTTCCGAGTCAATCGTTTAGACTTTATTTTTTACCTTTTCGTTATCGTTTTTGTTCAACCGTCGTGTACTGCATGTACATACATAGTTGCTTGCTTACTTATTTCGGTGCATTCATTCATTCATTCATTTATATATCTTTGAAGCTTAGCTTAGCTTGCGTCCAAAACTCCTCTCAAGAAGACAGACAGTCACAGACTATACTAAATAGGCCTCTACTCTCTCATTTTCTTATCTTATCAATCCTGCAGTCCTGTGCTGTCCTGAATTGAATTTCGGTGCGTAATTTATTTATTTATCTGTCTGTTCTGTCTGTCTATCTGCTGTCTCTTGTAAGGGGATAAATACTAGATAGAGAATTGAATCTATATAAACACGAAACACGACGGTTGCTAGCTGGCTACATAGGGACACACTGTATATGTAGGGAGTACTGATGAATACTGCGTAGGGGAATCATGTCACATTCATGCAAGCACAATACCATAGCAAGTAACATATACAAGATCTACAGTAAGAGACAGTACATATATATGATAGCATGACTAAGGGAAGATAGATGGTATCATCACACTTCTGCGTCTTCTTCAACAGCCTCCTCCCCCTCCGAACTCCTCCTCCCTCCACAACCACCACCACCTCCTCCTCCTCCTCCGCCACACGCTCCGAAGAAGCCGCCTATTCCGCAGTTTCCCGCGTTCCCCGCGCCCAAGCCCACGTTGTCGACTTTCCACGCGCCGAGCACCAAGCCCGAACAGCCCGCTGCTGTTCCGCAACCTGCCGCTGCCACGGCGGCGGCACACGTGCTTGCAGCGCAGTTCCCGTAGGCGTGCAGCCCGCCGTTCATGCATGCCGGGTTGCAGGCGTACGCGTCCGCGTTGACGCCCGGGTCGCTCATGTACGGCGCGTAGAACCCTACGGCTAGAGGGACGCCCCAGACCATCGGGGCGTAGGACAGGGCGTCGCCGGAGTCCTTGTTTTTGCTATTCTTGCTCCGCCGCTTCTCCGCCCGCCGCCGCGCTTTCTCGTAGTTGTTCCGCAGCTGCATCTCCCTGACCCGCGCTGCGCTCAACGACAGAGGGTCGCCTTTCGCGCGTACGGCGTTGTGCGCCGAGATGTGCGGGTTCTTCTCCGGGTCGGACGAGATGTTCGGATCGTGGTGCAGGTTCTCCGCCGCGGAGCGCGCGCGCGCCGTCGAGCCCGAGCGGAAGAGCCCGCCGCTGTACAGGATAGGCTCGCGGACTGCCTCGCAGTACCAGCAGGTGCATTCGCTGTAGATGCCGCCGTCCGTCAGCTTCTTGTAAATCTTGCTCGTCCACTCGAAGCCTTCCGACAGCTTGTTCTCCTCCACCTTGTCGTCGTGGTCGATGAACGTGCCCTTCGTCTGCTGCTTGGAGAACTCGAAGTAGCGCGCCGGCGACAGCTGGTGCGTGTGCCACGCCAGGTCCACGTCCAGCGTCGGCACCGCCATCTTGTCCGGGTACCGGCTCATGATCTCGAAGAAGACGCCGTACTTGCGGATCAGCCGCTCCATCGTCGCGCTCAGCGCCGGCGAATGGATCCAGTCGAGATTGTCCATCTTCTGCACGAAGGTCCCCTGGCGGATCACCGCGCCCACGAGGTCGAGCGCGAACGGCGAGCTGTTCTCCCAGTAGCGGGACATCATCCGCCGGAAGGCGATCCTCTCGTCCCAGAGCAGGATGTTGGCCACCCAGTTCGCTTCCGTCATCACCTTCTTGTCCTTGAAAAGCTCTCCCAAGTCGCGACGGAGACTCTGCATGTCCTTCACGGATGATGTCTCCTCCAGCCGCGGGTCGGTGGACCGGAGCAAGCGTTGCGAGGCCGCCTTGAGCAGGCGGTTGGGAAACGTCTGAGGGTGGCGCTTCGCGGTGCTGGATTCAGGGATCCCCTTGACGTTGTACAGCGTGCCGGGCATCGGCCGATCAGCCTGGATAAGCGCTTCCAGATCCTTGCGGAACTTTGCGACCCGGAGTCGCTGGTGGTCGACGAAGTACGAACAGTGGGGACAGGAGCACTGCAAGTTCTTGTCCGCGTAGCCCGTCGCAGACTCGAACGCCTTGTCCAGATCGGAACTCATCTCGCCGCTCGTCCAGGGAACAGTGAAGGACTTTTGGCAGCGGGGGCAATCGAGCAACTTCTCAGGCAGGTCGTCCAGATTGTCCCAGGACCGGCCGACCCGCGTCTCGAAGCTGGTCTTGGCCGCGTCTCCGGGCCGGTATTCGAAGGACTGGTTGTCGATACACTGGTCGAGAACGTCCCAGGGGAGACCAGCCGCCCAGAAGGTCATTTTCGCATTGCGGATGCAGTCTTCGAGGAAGGAGCGTGGGTTGAGCATGTATGCGTGCCAGACCATCACCACGTCTGAACGTAACACATCAGTCAGAGAATAAAACAGTCAGACGGGAAATCGGGATACTCACCCAAAGGAGGCATCTTGTCCCGCGTCCACACGATACGATCACCAGGGTTGGTGATGTCAAGATACTTGGGATCCGTGAGGTCCAGCAAAGTGGGCGGATCGCCCCAAGTCGGCACGCAGGTCGACCACCACGACGTGAAGCGATCGACGGCTCGGGCAGTGTATACAGCCCAGCGCTTCTCTCTGATGCGGGCGAGAGCACGGAACCGGTCCTGCTGCGAGGCGAACTTGTCCGCCTGGGCGTCGTAGATGCCGAACAGGCCGTCGTCGCACGACACGGCATCCCGCAGGTCGGCGAAGGCGGCCAGGAGTTTCAGATGCGCAATGCACTGGTCTTTCGCGACGGTGGACTCTGTTGGCGGGCCGGGATCGGATAGATCGAGGGGAGGGATCTGAGGCAGTTTCTGCGCTTGCGCTTGCTCTTCTTGCTCGTCGTATGACGGTGGAGCGTCGGGCTCGAACCCGGGAGGAGGCGTGGATTTTCCGTCTTTTTCGTCTTTTGCCATGCTGTATGTACGCGTGTATGTATGACAGTAGGAAGATCTTCAGATGGATGGATCAGATGTTGGTGTCATGTCAGTCTCCAGACCCAGGTCATACCCCAAGGAGGGTAAATGGATCAATCAATCAATCACAAAGATGAACTATATTCAATCTGGAATGAATTCACTGCCGATGCTATTATTTATAAGAATGGTTCTTCTCTTGGAGATGGACAACACATGTACTCAGGACAGTGCCTGCTGGGTCGCTACAGGGGCCAAATGCGAAGATGAAGAGACGAAGAAGACATGATAAATAAGGTTCACAGTCCAGCCAGCTTACTGACAGAAATAGCAACCAACACCAAACCAAAGCAACACCAACATTAGCGGGCATAGCGACGAGGCTCAGCGGGGGCCTCGGGATAAGGTTGGTTAAGTGGTTAGCGTTGGCATCGCGGCTGTGTTAGAACTTTTAGGGGCCTAGGGCATGCACTAATCACCGTGCATTCCTGGGGATGCAAAGGCAAATCATGCAATGACGATAACCTCTGTACTCCACGGTCAACGAGCAGCATGAGCATCGTGGGGCAATGCGATCATCGCATGGCTGTGCCCCATCTGCACAGGCAGAGTAGTAGTTATTGCGGGGGCGGAATGGATCATGCTCGGTGATAATTGGTAGCCTGGCATTGTCCATAATTACTAACACAGCCCCATTGAGAGGATCTATCTGGCATGATTATTCTCCACAGAAGAACACACCAGATGTCATTGGAGAATTCTACTGCAAGTCTGTAGGAGGTACATGTAGTTATGCAAATACTCCGTACGTAGTTGAATCGGAAACGGAGCAAGAATTCTCCGGATGCGGCTTGTTTGCCGGGTTTGCATCCACGTGACCCGATGAGTCATGAGTCACCTGAGCCCCCGAGATCGGAAACCCCACCGGTGATTGCTTTTGCTTCTGTCGAGGCTTTGAGGGGTTGGAAATCCAGCAGAGACTGTCAATTCGAGCTGCGAAGAAAGGCGAACGGAGCTCGCGTATCGGCTGGGCTGTTCGCATTGCCTATCTCGCCCTCGCGAAATCGGACGCAAGGAGCGCGTGCTCTCCATCCACCCGCCGGCCCGGTTTTTATCCTCAACCCATCGTCTGATCGCCTGCGCGAAGCCGCAGGTCATCCACCGTGGCGGCGCACGGGGTGACGAGCGGCATCGGAGGGGGAGGGGTCCCCGGGGGAAGTCAGGGGCCGTCAGCATCTCACAATGCCACGCCTGTGACCAGTCCGTCCAGGTCGGGCGTCAACATGCCCGCGGCCACGGCCACGGCCGCTGCCACTGCTGCTGCGCCCACAGCGCAGGCAGGGCAGCCAGCCCAGCCAGCCCAGGTCGCGGGGAAGAAGCGCAATGTCGCCGGCGCCGGCCTGGACAGCTCGCCCGGGAGCATCGACGACGCCGAAGAGGGAGGAGGAGAACACCAGGAGGAGAAGAAGAGACAGCCGGTCAAACGGGCCTGCAATGAGTGTCGACAGCAGAAGGTGAGTTCAATGCGAACGGCAGTGTCAAGAACTCGTGCTCACGTTGCCGATGCAGCTTCGATGCGATGTCATTCAAGACCCCTTCACGTCGTGCTCGCGCTGTCGCCGCCTCAAGCTCGAATGCAAGATCGAGTCCAACTTCAAGCGCATCGGCAAGCGGAGCCGCAACGCAGAGATGGAACGGGAGATCGTCGAGCTGAGGAAGCAGATTGCCAGCGTCAATGCCGCCAACGCATCGCTGCAATCTCAGGTCAACGCCGGAAAGGCCAACGGGGCGGGCCTGTATCAGACGCCCTCGGGCATGTCGACCGACCAGTTCATGGGCTCCCACGAGGCGGTCGCGTCGTTGCTGGATCTGCGGTCGGGATTCGACGGGTCCAACTACATGAGGAATGGCGGTCACCAATTCAAGAGGATTGAGGACGTTCTGATCGCTTCAGACCGGGTGACGGAGTTGTTCAACCTGTAGGTGTTTGTCTGGTCGTTCGCAAGATGAACCAAGACTGACAGAGTCAGCTTCTTCACCTTTTACCATCCGTTCTTGCCGTTCCTTGATCGTGACACGTCCCCGGATGACTACTACTCCTCCTCGCCGCTCCTGTTCTGGATGATCATCAGCGTCGGTGCTCGTCGCTACCAGGCCGACGTGAATCTGCTGAATTCGCTGGCCGGGCCGGTGACCAGGCTGGTCTGGAGCACGCTGGCCGATATCCCCCAGAGTTTCCATGTGGTGAAAGCGCTGTGCCTGCTGTGCACCTGGCCGTTCCCGACCAGCAGCACTTCCACCGATCCGACCTTCATGCTGTGTGGGATCATGGTCCAGGTGGCCATGCAGCTGGGCCTTCATCGGCCGTCGCACACACAAGACTTCACCAAGTTCCGGGTAGAACTGATCGAATCTGAATTGCGAGACAAAGTGAGGACGTGGGCGGTTTGCAATATCGTCGCGCAGAGGTATGTTTCTTTTGGCCTGTATGCGTCAGCTGGGTACTGACTTGGCAAGGGTCGCAACCGGCTACGGGCAGCCTCCTTCGACTCTGTACGACTGGACCCTTGGCGCGAGTGAAACGGTGGACCCCAACTTCAAACTGCCGCATGATATCAAGGCGAGGTTGCAAATCGAAAAGTTTTGCGACAAGGTCACCAAGACGCTGTATAACAATCGTCGAGACCCCGTTGGACTGTCTGGCCAACAGGAGAGGTCAACGTTGATCTCTCTCTTGTCGAAAGACTTCCATGATTTGGAAGATCAAGTCCGGTCGGAGAATGACGGTAGGCCTGTCTCTCCCCTTTTGTTTGTTTATGGTTCATGCTGAACTCGGTTCTGTAGTAATCACGGATCTCTACCTCCATGCCGCCCATCTCCACCTTCACCTGTCTGCCTTCTTTGACGACCCGTCCGCGAAAGACTACTGTGAGCGTCTTCTCGCCTTGCACTCAGCAACGACCACGTATCTCGAGAAGGCATTGAATCTGGAGACGTCTGTCGGCCCCGTGCTGTCTTACACGCCGTACTACATCTACCAGATGATGCTGGCGGGAGGGTTCACTCTGTTGAAGCTCTGCAAGAGCTTCTTTGCCGCGCACATCGACCTGGAGTACAGCAAGAGCCTCTTCAACAGGACCATCTGGGCGATTCGGGGGATCTCAGTGGCCAACAACGACCTTCCCCAACGCCTGGCCGAGGTCCTCGCGCAGATGTGGCGGCTTGGTGGCACTCCAACCCAGAGACCGGCTACAGCAGAGGTGGATGACTCGTTGCAGCTGAAGGTGCGATGTCGTATGAGCATGTCGCTGGTGTACGACTCGGTTTGGCGGTGGAGAGAAGACGCTCAGACCAAGGGCCGCAATATCGAAGGTATGTTGGCTCGTCCGGTTTTCTTTCAACGCTCTTGTTCTGACTGTGTGCAGCCTATCTCAAGAACCCGACGGATCCGGAGTCCAATAACGATTCGTCTACATCCTCTGTTGCAGCCGTCCAGACGTCGTCCACTCCGGGGGTTGCTGGCGGCGATCCCAATCTGGCGCCGCCAGCGCCTGTGCCGCAGGGTATGGCGATGTCAGCGTCGAGCAGCGGAGTGAGCAGCCTTCCGAGCGCAGTCAGCGGGTTCATGGAGCCGAACTACGAGGTCTTTGACCCGCTGAACTGGCTTCTCGATGGGCTGGTGGACTTTCCTTACACGTACCCTGCGGTGCAGGGTTTGGAAACGCAGGGCATTGCGTGAGCATCGAATAACTCTTACTCTAATGATGAAAAGGACGAAAGCATGAAAAGCATGAAAAGCATTTCCAAGGGTATTTTTCTTGTTATTTTTCTTGTTGGGAATTTTTTTTGTCGTTTTTTTTTGCATGTCGAATGGTTTCAACTGGCGGCTGCTGTCTTTCGGACTGGACATAGCGCAGGCGTCTTGGTTGGAATGTCTTAGTTTACGACCGTCATGTTATGTACACCATATATCCCTGTCTGCTTTCGGAGTTGTCTGTAACGCCATTGCATGTTGTTTTAGCTTTTCTTTGTTTTTCTTTCTTTCTTTCTTTCTTTCTTTCTTTTTCTTTTTTTCTTTTTGGGTAATATATCCGATGTCATCGTTAATAAGCAACGATATCCAGCGTATCGTGATTGTGGATACTCTGCATAGTTTGTATACTATGAGAACCCTGTTGGATACAGTTCACCTGGCCGATTGTATTCTGGATTTATTCTAGTTTCAGGCTCGAATTTCGTCATTTTATCGCGATAAGCAGTTATCGTCTCGCCCAATGACAGCGATCAATTGTCGAAATGGCCAACTTTAGCAAGCTCAAGTCTTTACTGCATTAGGCAAGTCCATGCGAAGCACCCAATGCGTCTTGTCCCCCGCCTTAATTATACACCGTTCTCCGTACATCGGTCTCGAGTGACATGAGCTTATCTATGGCATTTTATTTCTTCCCCTTCCTACAAAAGGCGGGCTTTCTCCCGCACTAACTGGCATTCTGTCCTGAACATTTCCTTCTTCTTAGTTTGTAGGAGATTGCAGCGATTGGGTTGATTAATTCAGAAAGAAAAGAGGTCAGATCACCTATCTCTCTCCGGTATAGCTAGCTGAATCTCACTATTTATATGCCTACAGGATCGCTGTGAGAACTAGACAACAGACACAGGCATATTCTTGCTGAAAATGACCTCTCGCCCTCACCCCCTCCACAACATCTCCCCGGCGGAGATCCGCCGCGCCTCCCAGATCGTCTCGCGCATCCTGCAGGACAAGAATGGCCCGTCCTACGAGGTCTACTTCAAGCACATCTACCTGTACGAGCCGCCCAAGGCCCTGCTGATGCCCTACCTGGACGCCGAGAGCGCCGGCGTGCCGGTCGCACAGAGGCCGTTCGTCCCGCGGTTGGCGGGCGTCATCTACCATCAGCTGGGCAATCCGCGCGAGTTCTTTGAGATGATCGTCAGTCTGGACTCGGGGACGGAGGTGGAATTGCGGACGCCGAAGAGGGGACAGCATAGCTCTTATGATAGGTACGTACAATACAGGGAACGCCTAAACTACTGGGCAGCACTGAATGTTTATAGGGAGGAGCTCCGACGCGTGGCAGAAAAGATCCTGACAGACCCTGCGGTTGTGGAGGCTGTCAAAAAGTTCAATCTCCCCAAAGACGTCGTCATCCAGGTCGATACGTGGCCCTACTGCGCAGACAAGTACTCGACCGTCGACACTCACAAATGCATCCAAGGCCTGCTATACGCCCGCGCGCCGCACAACCACCCGGACAGCAACCAGTATGCGTTTCCGATCCCCCTGTCGCCCGTCTACGATCTGTTCGAGGACCGGGTCGTGCGATTCGACACGCTGGCGACTGGCGGCGAGGAGGACGGGCTGAAGCACAACACCGCCCCTGCTGAGACCGCGATGGCGCACTGCGTCGAGAATGAGTACCACCCGGATCTGCTCAAGGGGCCGCCGCGGCAGGATCTGAAGCCGTTGCGGGTCGTCCAGCCCGAGGGGCCCAGTTTCACCGTCTCCGACGAGAACCTCGTGCAGTGGCAGAAATGGCGGTTCCGGGTCGGTTTCAACTACCGCGAGGGACTGACCATCCACGATGTGAGGTATGACGGGAGGAAAGTGTTCTATCGGCTCAGCGTGAGCGAGATGACGGTTCCTTACGGCGGTGAGTAGAGTCGTGGATGTGTGCCATAAAGGGTCATGATGCTGACTGCTCAGACCCACGCACGCCGTACCATCGAAAGCAGGCCTTTGACTTTGGCGATGCCGGCGCCGGGAACTGTGCCAACAACCTTGGCCTGGGATGCGACTGCCTGGGCGTCATCAAGTACTTCAACGGCTGGCTGAACGACCCCAAGGGACAGCCCGTCGAGGTGCCCAACGCCATCTGCCTGCACGAGCAAGACTCGGGCATCGGATGGAAGCACACGAACATCCGAACGGGGGTCGCAGCCATCACGCGGGCCCGGACGTTGGTCGTCCAGACGATCATCACCGTCGGCAACTACGAATACATCTTCGCCTGGCTGTTCCAGCAGAGCGGGACGGTCGAGCTCGAGACGCGGGCGACGGGGATCGTGTCGACGGCGCTGATCGACGCGGGCAAGCGCAGTCCATGGGGGAACGTGGTCGCGCCGGGGGTCCTGGCGCAGAACCACCAGCACCTGTTCTGCCTGCGCATCGACCCGATGGTCGACGGTAACGAGAACACGCTAATCCAGGAGGACTCGATCGCGGTGCCCGAGTCGGAGGACGAGAACCCGTTCGGCAACGCGTGGCGGCTCGTCAAGACGCCGTTTGAGAAGTCGACGTTCGCCGACGCCGCGCCGGAGAAGAACCGCGTGTTCAAGATCGTCAACGAGAAGCGCCTCAACCGGATATCCGGCAATCCGGTCGGGTACAAGCTGGCGCCGGTACCCTCGCAGCTGATCCTGGCGAGCAAGAATTCCGTCGTGCGCAAGCGCGCGCGCTTCGCCGAGCACCACATCTGGGTAACGCGGTACCGGGACGGCGACCTGTGGGCAGGCGGGAAATGGGCGAACCAGTCGCTGGAGGAGACGGACGGGGTGGCCGACTACGCGGCGCGCAACGAGGACGTGCGCGACCGGGACATAGTCGTCTGGCACACGTTCGGCATGACGCACAACCCGCGCGTGGAGGACTTCCCCGTCATGCCGGTCGAGACGATCACCGTATCGCTGAAGCCGGCGGATTTCTTCGAGGGCAATCCGGCGCTGGATGTGCCGCAGAGTACGCAGGCGGTTAACCAGAGTGTGCTGTATGAGGAGGCAGGACAGGATGATAAAGCATGCTGTTCGAAGGCGGCGAAGTTGTAGCAGGCAGACATATATACTACAGTGATATACAGTTATGTCACGATAGATAGAGAAGAACGACTAGGGAACTATGTACTGTACTGTACATACATACATACATAGTATGGATGAATCAGACTGATATGAATTGCATACATTAATTATGTCTTTGCCTGTAATCATATACGATATATATATATATATATATATATACTCTGTCTATTAGGGCAGGTTAGGATCAACCTCCACAAACATTAATTTTAAAATTAGACACACTAAACAGCCTTCTCAAGAGAATGATGCTGAAGCCACAATTTTGCCATCTGGAGAAAACCTCACGGCCCTGACAGCGCTGTTATGGCCCTCGAGTGTCTGAAGCAATGGCCCCCAATCGTTTGCACACATATCTCCGTACAATCTAGGCTGAAAGGCTATTTACTGGGAAGGCTCTTTTGGCTGGTTATAAACCCTCTCTCTCGCCCAGGTGACAAGGTTTGTGTGCTGAATTCGAGATAAACAAAAATATAGGTAGATCTTCTGCCTGGTGATATCTGATGCCTACCCGTAATGTTCACGCAAGTTGTACAGCTGATGCGCAACCCAATAAAAGTATTGATTTTACTGGTTTTGCATGTAGCTCAACCTGAGCTCCCATAGCTTATACACCCTACGAATCGTTCTTGCTACGAATCAAGAGATGATAGCGATTGGCGAGCTCTAGTAGCTATAAGAAGGATACCCACGCCGCTACTCCCAAGTCCTCGACGAACACATCTTGAATGACAATGACCGAACCGAAGTGGAACAAATTATGGCGAGCCTGCAGTCTCTTGTTCTGCTCACACTGAAAGGCATACCAGCTGGTCGTGTTGTCATTCCATTTCTGCTTCTATCTCTCAGATCTGATTGCTGATCATTAAGTATTCCAGAGCAAGCCCAATAGATCCCACCAAACTCTATTAGGTAGTCGACAGACGGGTTGCCTAAATTGTCACTACCAGATTCGGTGCAAACAGGTCGTTCCAGTTTCCAAGACTCCTGCCTACTTGCAAGGCCGCCACTTCACTTCTTATCCCTCATTTCTAAGTCACCACCCTCAATTTCTACAATCACTCTGTTTTACCGCTTTACCTTTTCATCACTCATCTCTCAGTCATGATATGTTAGTTGACTCACCTTCCCATCCCTCATATCAGTCTACTCTTCAGCAATGACGCAACCGGAGCAGCAAAGACAGCTGTCATGGACTGCCAAAGAGCGGCGACTGATGAGCCGCAGTGATGAAGAGATGCTGGACGAACTTGACCTCCGCCTCGACTACAGAGTCGGATGGCCGAAGCCCTTGCCGGTCCTCCCCATCCGTCTAACACCTATTCTGGATGTAACGGAGTACATCGTCGATTTCTCTGCTGCAAGTCGTCAAATCCGCAGTATCTGTGGTGTCGAACGGGTCACCTATGGTTTCGATAGTCCGCGCCTTGTTTATTGTCATCGTTATGATTGCCTTCCAACAGAGGAAGATGTGACTATCGTGATGGATTGCCGAGTGGGTCAGACACCCTGGACGAACACCTTGAAAGAGGTCCGAAAATACCTGGCCCGGGAAGATATTCAATATCGGATTGAGTTCACATTGATTTCCGAGTCGCCACACCCCAGACTCACACGATCCTACCTGATAATCCAATTGTCTCGCTATGGGAAGACGTGTACAGGCAACAAGTCCTCTCCTTGATCCAAGGTACAGAGTGGCAGACTGTCGACGTGTTCCATCGTGGCAACAGTCCGGAGAGACACGATTGCCCGGTAACGATCGTTATCACAACATGGGATGCCAGCGAGAGTCTGTGGTGGGAAGATTTGCTTCCGAGGATCCGTCTACGATGGCCACATGCAGTCGAGCTTTGCTCTGCGAACAGTATCCGTACTATGGATCTTGATATCCAAGCTAGTGCAAGGATGTTAACTGATGCTTCTATTAGCGGCCCTATTCAGATAGGCACAAGTGTTGGAATCAAGGGTGAGCGTGGTGGAGGAACACCTGGAGGTGTTATCGAACTACAAGGGCGGGATGGCACAATCACAAAGATGGGTCTCACCAACCATCATGTTGTTCTTGATACAAGACTAAACTCTGGTAATTCCCTCTGCAGTGTAACTCTTTTCAAGTATTAACAGCTAACTTTATTTCTGGCAATTACTGATCGAAATACACTGCTCCTCCCTTCTCATGACCTTTCACGGCAGCAGATCCTTGTGATGACTGCGCCGTGTGACTCTGACACAGAAGTTTGGATCCGGGAGATCGATGAAAGCATTAACAGATTGGGAAAAGTGGCTGACGGGGATCCCACAAAACCGGACAGGCCAGGCCTTAGGGCCAGAGTCAGTTGGGGCGCGGAATCGAAAAGACCGGAACTCGAAAGAATTCTGCATCTGATGACAGAGGCAGAGACACGGAAAGCACGCATTAAGTCCTTCGACCGTACTGCAGGTTTCGTGGCCGCATCCTCGGGGAACAGGACCATCAATATTAATGGAAAGTGTTGGCCTCTAGATTGGGCTCTGATTGAACTCCATCCACAGCGGCCAATGACAAATACGGTCGTTGACGCCCCGACTAATTCTTTGATGAATGCTTACAACGAAACGGAAATCCGAAATTGGTCAACTTCAGCATCTCTGATGGATCTAACAGTCTTTAAGAAAGGAAGAACGACAGGCTGGACGGAGGGTACCGTGAACAGCATCAGGACGGATCTTCAATTGACAAGGGAGAAGGAAAACACACAAACTGATGTCTACGGGCAGCCTGTGTCCGCCTGGTCTATCCCGACATCGTCGAATGCGACGACCAAGTTTGCTTCCGAGGGAGATTCCGGTTCGTTAATTCTGAATGATGATAGAACTATCATTGGGTTGCTGTTTGCGGCCGATCCTGCCTCCGGTATTGGTTACTTTATTCCGTTTCATGTGATCATTGCAGATATTGAAGCGGTCACTGGGGCGAAGGTGGTTAACCTCTCAAGAGGCATAAATATTGTTTAAAGTACCTTACGGATGGGCTCGTCTAGTCTAAATTAGAGTAATGTAGGGTCTTTTGCTCAGACTTCCACATTGGCACTGGGAGAAGGGTGCGTCGCCTTATTAAGTGCAAGTTTCACTACACTCTATGTTTTCAACCCTTCCATAGCTTTTTTTTCCTTCTTGCTAAGCAATTCCTTTGCTCTACTATTATTACCATAGTCAGAACTAGTCAAATTGTTCATCATCCTAAATGCAGGTACGAGAATTTCTCTAAATTTAGATTCTACAAATTAGGCATGTTACTAACTCCACCAGAATGCATTGAAGCCGTTCTAAAGCAACGCACGGAGACATCGCACCTCCCAATTCAGTATTGAGTAGAATGCTTTCCAGTGGAACGGCATACCCAGCTCTTCACGTCGCGACTTGGATGCAGGATCCGAGTGCAGTCGCTCCCCAACCCCCAACCCCGGACGAGCACATACCAGTTCATACCAGGTAGTATAAATCATGTTATCTAGACCTAGAGTCTCCTCCTTGTTTTGCTGTCACCAATTGTTTTTCTGCTTATATGGTCTCTAATTAGCCTATTTTGCCTAGAATTATGCTTTTATCCCCGGGGGTAAAAGCTCCTCTTCGACGTGTCTTTTCTGGAAGTTTGTGTATATTGTTGGACATCCCACCGTCTACCCCGAACCCGATGAAACCGTCTATGCGATACTAGCTTCCCTTAATTTGTCTACCAGACCACATCTCCTCTATTATCAGCAGGATATTGAGAGGAACGCGCTGGTTAACAGAGCTAGGATATTAAACACAAATAGTAATAGAAACCTTAGGGCTATCTGAAAAAGCCTTTCTCAGAGGACACTATGGAAAGCAGAAGATGTTGGAAAGTAGGAACAACCTAATGTTGTGACATGTAGAGATAAATTAGTGTAATTATAGCTGCTCTGCTGTCTGTCTGTCTGTCTGTCTGTCTGTGGGGCAAGGCAGGGCAAGGCAACCAACCAATTGCAGGGAAATGCCGATTGATCAATTACTTTAACTTGCATTCCAACCTTAGTAGTAGTACTTACTCATCTACCTAGTGTCATCGACATCAACGCTTATCTGTCAATCATACTATCCAACTCGACAAATATACCTAATCTATCAATCTCACTGCTGAACTGCTCACTCACTCACTCAAATCAGTCAATCAATTGGGGGAATTCAACACATATCATCCAAGAAGAATTCACACTATCTACTACATATCTACATCATCATATTTAACTAAATACCGGGGATTTATTTTTATTTTATTTTTATTAATTTCAATGATGAGATGACATGACATTCCTATCATTATTATTAATTACCCTTCTTCTCCTGATTTGATCTGATCTGATCGATCAAGGAGAGCAAGCAAGAGCAAGCAAGAGCAAGCAAGAGCAAGCAAGCAATCAACGACAGACACAATGTCCTCCTCCTCCCTCCTCCTCCTCCTCCTCATCATCATCTACTACCCATCAACCTCAACACGAACACGAACAACACAAACCACAGCATTGCAGTCGCCGTCCACTCCTCATCCCACAAAAACGACCTCTAATACCCCCTTCTTCAACATCATCATCCAAAACAAAAACAAAAATGAAAACAAAAACCATCAACCCCAGCGCCCACCCTGCCTCAATCCAGATCCTTCGACCGGTATTTTCTTCTCTTACCGAGAACAACACTACTAGCGTTACGACCGCTGCTTCTGCTACTGCGACTATTGAATTCGACTCCTCCCGCTCAGCGCAGCCCTTTCTTGAGCCGGATGTTTTGGCTAGGATGAGGAATAGGAATCGTCAAAATCGTCAGAGTCAGGGTAGTACTACTACTAGTACTACTACAGAGGCTCAAGGCGAAGCTGAAGCTGAAGCTGAAGATGAAGAAACTGCCCTCCGCAGAAGGGAGAGAGAGGCCGAATACGGGAGTATGGCTATTCGAGGGCGGAGGGATGTTAGACGGAATCGAGGGAGGAGAGGAAGGTCGACAAGGGGAACAACATGATAGAATAGAATATTCTATGCGAATCGAGTGATGTTTTGTTCTGTTCTGTTCTGTTTTGTTCAGGTTTGTCTGATTGAAATTGTTTTGATTGATTGCAATTGTTGTATGTACTGTACCTACTTGGATTGGACTTTTTTTTGAAGAATTTAATCAATCACTCGCATAATGTTATGCAATGTAATGTACAGTACAGTGTAGTGCATATGTCAACGAAAACCACAGCTAAATAGATATGTGTCATACCAAGTAGATACAAAATGAATCAAATCAAATCAACCAAACTCGTGAGTCATCAGATCGTGCTTCGTGCTCGTTTCATGCTTCGTTTCATGTTTCACGTCAATCATGTCGTCTGTCTGCCTTAGGTTATCATAACTCATCATGTCGTTGTCGTAATGCTGGACCATGTCCAGACTGAATGTGTCTCCTCCAGTTGATCAAATCGAATACTCCCGTCATGCCGTCATGGGGTGAGACCCCCAGACATCATTTTGTCATTATCAGATACGGCTGCCTCCATCGACTTGTCATTGTCAGATACCTCCGTCCGCAATATCGGATCGTAGGGTCCCACCACCGAAAACGGATCGATCGGCGTCTTCTCACCAATGCTCTGCTTCAACTTGGCCCGTCGCGCCTCCCATTTCTCCTCCTGCCGGAGCTGTCGCGCCCGTCGAACCCGCCGCTGCAGGTTCCGAAGCGTCGTCAATGGCACGTGCATCCCCCACCGCGAGGCAAACCGTACACGACGCTGATACGGCGAGAGTGGGCGCATGATTCCACAGCTCAGACTCCTTCCAACGTTACCTTGACTGGAGCGATGTCCGCGGGACCTCTTGGACATCCGACGAGCCAGCGAAATCGGTCCGCTGAAAATTACCCGTTTCTGAGGCAAGCCCAACGAGTTGCTCACAAACTCATCCTCCTGCCGATTATCCTCCTGCTGGCCGTCCTTCCGGTCATCTTTCCGGTCATCTTTCTGCTCGCCCTCACCCTCCCGCTCAGGACCATCGCCCTCGTCATCCGACTTGAAATCATCCCAGAAGCCACGCGGCCGCCAAAATGGATGCAACCGGCTATCCATGTCTTTCCCCGCCGTCCGGTTGGTTGCTGCTCTCGAAGCAGACCAGGCCGACTGACGACGCGCGCTCAAGGCACGTCGAACAGAGCCCAACCGCCGACTCAGGCGGCTACTTCTCGCCTGCTCCTCCGCCCCCAACTGACAGTCCGCTTCGTCCATCGGCGTCGGAGGGGTGACCTTGAATGCCGGTGGATCCGGCGGCGGGCGAGGATTCTTAAGCGGTGAATCAACAGTGGCCGGGGTTGGGGACTGCTTTGGAGTCTCCGCATCGACAGGCGCGTCTAGCGGTCGTCCCCGCAGAGCTTGCACAGCGCGAGACTCCGGCTGCTGTTTCGGGTCAATCAACAGTACAGACTCGTTGTTGTGGGGGAAGAAAGTCACAGCAGTGGCCTCATTTATCTCTACTGGTCCCGGAGATGACGAAACGACTGACGCCTGCGTGAAGTGAAGTGATGGAGCGCGGAGTCGCTCAGCATCATCCTCCTGATGAGACTGCCGTTCCAAAGCTTCCGAGCCTCGACGATCTTCAAACAAAACGATCCTGGGAGATGCGTTGGGATCGGACGGCGGCTCATTATGCTGCTTCTGCATCATCGCCTCCGTGTGAATTCGCAGGCTCTCCGAAGTGAGCGACGCAGACCGGGAATTATTCCTGCTCGTAGGTGCCGAGAGAGAAGAACTGCGAGGTGGCACCGGCGGCCGGAAAAATCCCCGACCTCGACTGTTTATGTCGGACGTAGAAGGCATAGAATCAGACATGGTGCGCTTCCTCTGCCGCATGGGCATATCCATCGTGCCCCTGCTGCCCTCGGGTGCAGTGGTAGGCCGGCGACCGGAACCCTGCGAGCGAGTTTTGGAGTTGTTCCGGCTGCTTGAAGTCGACGCTTTCAACGAGGAACGTCGCTCTGGAATCACAACGACGGGGATGACTTCTAGCTTCTGCGGGAGCTGACTCGACGTGACGCTCGCCGCAGACATGTTGGAAGAGATGCTGCGACGGTCGCGGTTGGTGATGCGAGCCGACTTGCGCACCAGACGACGCTGCGACTCCGCACTGGACTCTAGAGACGTTCGAGTCGACGGGGGGTTTGGCGAGCTCACAGATCGCAAGGAGGCCCTCTTTCCGCTATGTCGCAGCGTTCGTCTGGCCTGTTGCGGCAATTCGATAACCATGGCTTCAATAGTCGAAGTGGTAGAACATCCAGACAGTCTCCAAGAGTTGACTCTGTCCATCAACTGTTGCTCCTCTTCCGGCAAGAACCAGCAAATGTCTTCTCCAAACTTTTTGACCGAAGGGCTGATAGAAGAGTCTCGGGACTCCTGCACACGATCCCGCAGACTCCTTCCCCGGGTAAGAGAACAGTTTAATTGCTGATGTCCCGTGTCGCAGGCGTCAGACTGTGGTCGCTGTTTCAAGTCCCCATTGGCGTGGTTTCCACGTGGCCGGGGCGACTTGAAACAGCGTGATGTGGCAGATCCACCTTCATGATTGTGCACCCACTCCCCATCAAACGAGTCAAAGACTGGCTGCCGCTCCACTTTTCGCGACCCCTGTGAAGATGTATATGTTTCCTCCACTCGAATTCCGTTCGCCAGGGGTGAATTCTTCCGTGGTGACGGCCTAGCCGACCGGTTACGGCTCTCGGGTTCCTCGTCGGACGACAAGCCCTCTTGGGCGGTCTTGAACGACTCTGCCCGGGACGACATAGAAGGCTGGACGGCACCCGGCGTTCTGTCTCTTGCGCGAGGTGGAGTTGTATCCGGAGTAGGAGGAGTGAACTGACGAGGTCTCCCGGTTTGGGCGGTTAGACCATGGTTGAGGGGGACGGGACATGGTTTCAAGTCAGGGGTACTCGCGTTGTACTCTTGCTTCTGCTTGGGAGGCGTTAAAGGAAGAGTCGGGGTGACGACTGCAGCACCGTTGGACTGCTCCACATCGCCCTCAGACGGGGGGATTTCTATCGGGGGCATGCTCTGGGTGGCATCTCGGCGGCGTGGAAGGGATTTGCGAGCTTTGGGAAGGGGTCTTTCAGGCTGTGGAGCATCCGAAACTGCGTTTGAGGCCTCGAATCCCGGCATAGTGATAAGACGTAGCTCTCGATCTGAGGATCGATCGTAATTCAGCACGACGGAGACACTGATACGATAGTCGCACCTAGCATCACCGCATGACACGTGTTTGAAGCGCGTGCACAGGCCAGATCGAACAGCACACTACCTCATTCTTGTAGCTCGTAGCTTCCAGCTCGACGTTTCGACAGTAGGCGTATCCAATCTTCGTGGCGGCTGGCTGTTTCAAGCACCGCTGAAACGTGCCGGTTTCAGACCGGACCGGACAGCTGGCAGCTCAGTCGACGGATTATTCGTAGATCAGTCGCATCAGATAAGTGGAGAGCGGTCAGGGACGATCACGACGGCGATCTCGAGATGACGATATAGATAGCTCACGCTCCGAGTCGGATGGAACCAGCAACGTGGAGGATAGATCGACAGACTCTCGAAACGACCGGGCGGATGATAAGGGAGATGGTGACTGCCAGGATGCGATGCTCGATGGAGGAGGACGATGTCACTCGCGAGGTGGTTTCGAAGGCGAGGCTGGCTGGATCATGAGACTCGATTCGATCGCCGCCGCGTGAGGCTCTCCAGCGGTGGGGACTCAAGACGGTCAGCGACGACTGGCCGCTGTCGGCTGCCTCGACGGTTCTGGGCGACTGCTAAGAGAACACAGGGCGATGGACAAGACCGCAGAGGGCGATAATAAATCCTCAGACGATGGCCAGGGAGGGGCAGTGGACGAGTCGAGAAATGCAATCTGGCTGCAACCTCGGCGCTCGTTAGGGGCCGCGCAGGCCTGGGCTCTCTGCGACGCTGCTGCCGGAGACGGGACGCGGTGAAGCTGCACGCATCAGGGACAGAACACGGCCACTGGCGGATGTCGATGTAAGTCATCATTCCCTTTGAAGGCAGCGACCAGTCTACAGAGGCGTTGTGGTGATCCTGGTGGGCTTGGTGGGCTTGTGCTTACGGTATGACAGGTCTCGCCTGCAGCCGCCAGCCCGTCTGTACGGAGTACATCTTCGTCGACTTGCCAAGAAGGCAGGGGATAGAGATACTAAGAGTTTTACAGCCTGCTGACTCTGATACATCGACATGGGCGATGGTTTGCCCGCAGACCGGTACCTGAGCTGTCTCGCGGACCTAGGAAGTGGCTCCTGCTCAACCATGGAACCAGTCTCTGCCTTGCATTTCTGTCTCCTGGATTGCGGGACAAGCAGCCATCGGAGTTAAATGCAGGTTCCGTCTGCAGAGTTCTGCAGCTGGACGAGTATCCTCGGCGTTCACTCGTCGGAGCAGGACCTCTACCGATGTGCGTCAGACTGGCAGAACATTCCAATGCTGCACGTCGGTTTCAAGTGATCAAGACTTGAACAGTGAATGTGATTTGCTCAGGGAGCAAGCCAACATTCCTCGCTGAGAACTACAAATTGTGCAGCTTACAGTGTGCAGTCCCTCACGCCCTGCCTAGGCGAGAGAGGTTCCGGATGGGGCGATGACAAGCCCTACAGTCTACGCTATGACGACGCAACCCCACAACGGATTGGAGATGATGAAATGGCACCTCACTACGGAATATTGCTCAGCACCGTGCCAAGCGACGCAGCAAGGAATGGTGTACCTGAAAGACGCACGAAACAGCTTTCTCAACAGCGTTAATTAAACCGGAAGATGGAGCTGTTGCGTTTGTCTCATCTGTCAACTGGCATAGTCATCTAATCTTCGTACGGAGTTCGCCGAAACACCAGCTTTCCCTCCCTCATCTACTTCGCACGTACTTACTGAAGCATTTTCTTGTTGCTGTCCGACTTCGTGGTAGGTTTTCAGTTCGGAAGCTGCTGAGGCAGAGCGCGCTGTCCTAGAGGTCAGCAGAGAGAGAGCATACGCTGCCTTCTGAGGGAGTCAGTGGGGAGCAAACAGGGAGGCCAAGAAATCAATTACATTGTCTGGAAGCTGAGAGCCTGAGGACAGATCAACCGTTGCAGCTGCGATGGATCGATGGATCTCTGCTCCATTGGCCGCCCATGCCGGGTTTCCTATTCCGGTATCCGCGACTGCAGCACCAACTTAACTCGATCCTTCCGGCTGGTCATTGTCTGCCCAAGCTCGAGACAGGTAGATGAGAATCATGATTGCTCAGCAATCAGGTCTACATTTGCAAGAGAACGAGAAAGCGGGAAATGTCGCCGTCAAGGATATTCTGTGGGATCGAGGTTAGTAGGCGAAGAACTGCAGTATTAATGTGATTCTTGCGAGGGCAATTCTCTCTTAGCTAAGCCCCTCTGCCCGTCCAATGATATGCCGCCTGCTTTCTTCGTTGCCGTTCAGTTTTCCCCCATTCTGCGTTCTGCCCTCTATTCATTCCTTCGTAGTTGAGAGATGCCGTTCGTAGTTTTTCCAGATGAGACATGAGAAAACCAGCAACCTGCTGCTAAGAAGCGTGTACCGGTAGATCGGCAACAGCGATGACGCAGGATCCCCAGGCTGGCTGAGGATGGTCTGGGGCGAGAAGATGATGGCGGACAACTAATGGCATCATAGGGCAGTCCCGTGCCCCACAGCTCTATCTCCCAGTTCCTCTGACCTCATCGCGCCTTCGCCCTCGCTCCCCTCCATCTCTGCCACTGCAGAATTTCCTCTGGCAGCGCTCGTCGCCCTCTCTCTCCGCATTCATTGACGCCCGTTGCGCTGCTCTTGCGCCTCTTTGGTCCGGGTGGACGCCCTTTGCCCCTCTCCTCCGCCCGCCCTTCTCGACCGGTCATCCGCGTCCGAGGGAAAGCATCCGGCCAGACTCTCTTCTGCCACGCCGCAAAATCCATTCCAGCTTCATTGACTTTCTGTTCGGGGTGGTCTCTGGCCAGTCCTTATCTGGCATCATTACTACCTTCATTGACACCTGTCTACAGTCTTTTCCCTCCCGTCTAACGAATCTCGCGGTTGTGACCCATTGGACCAGCACTGCGTCATTGGGGGCACCTGTTGCTCCATTTCGACTGACGGCCCTGTCAGCCTGCGCTACTGTCCTCGATTACTCGAAAACCCGCCGCAGTCCACGACTAGAGGATCAAGTGTCGCAACCTGCTTTGCGTCCTCCTGTCGCGCCCTGCCTTCGAATCCTCTTCTCCTTCTTGTTTACGTCCCTCTCATGCCTGCATCTCATTTGTTCTGAACGATCTCCCTCTCGCCCGCTCTTTTTTCTTGATTCACGATTGCTCGCTCTCCGAAACTATGAGTACAATACAGAACCTCAAGAACTTCATCCGGCACGGGAAACAGGCCCGCTTGGTGACGCCGCATGCGGAACCGACCACCGATGTCACTGCCGTCCACGCACAGCAACAACGCCAGCCTCAAGGACAGTACACCAACAACCTGGATGCCATCGACAACCGGCATGGAAATAATCAGCCTGCAGCCCAGAAAGCCCCCGAGTCGCATACCAAGCCGCATACCACCAAGGTCTCGCGGGCCGACATCGAACGGCTCGTGGCCGAGGAAAAGCAGAGCAAAGCCAAGATGCCAAAATACCCCGGTTTAGAGCGTTGGACCCTCCTCGAAAAGATGGGCGATGGCGCCTTCAGCAATGTCTATCGTGCCAGGGACAATACCGGCCAGATGGGCGAGGTCGCGATCAAAGTCGTCCGGAAATACGAAATGAACAGCAATCAGGTATGAAACAGGAAGGACTCACAGTCTGAATCCTCGCATTTTTTTACTTTCTCCCTTCTTTTGCCGTCCTGCTTCAACGTCTGCAGGGCGATGCACACAATTTAGGAAGAAACCCAAGGCAGTGGAGGTGCGCGACAGTCCTCTTCACTCGCTCTCATTCTTCCTGCATGATTTTCTTCCGTTGCCATGCCCTCGCTGCCCAGCACATCAACCATAATCTTTTGCAGATGGATCGCTAACTCGACTTGTCTCTGACAGCGGGCGAACATCCTGAAAGAAGTGCAGATTATGCGCCAACTCGACCATCCCAACATCGTCAAGCTTCTAGACTTTTCCGAATCCCGGCAATACTACTACATCATTCTCGAGCTCTGCCCTGGTGGTGAGCTGTTCCACCAGATCGTCAGGCTGACCTACTTCAGTGAAGATCTCAGCC